GGGAAACCGGTCATTTTATATAGCCTGACTTGAGTCCTGGAAATGGGAAGTACAATGCCTGCACTTTAAAGGAGGGGTTTGGGATAATGACAGTTTGAAGGGATATGCTGTGTATCTTTATACGTACTGTATATACTTCTAAACTGTTGTAATCTAAGCATCTCTGCAAAAACAGTGATTATGTGTGAGTGAGGTGAAAGGTTGAATGATGATGAAAGTATTTTCTTTTTGGGGATTTTCTTTCTTTTTGGTTCACCCTGCCTCGGTGGGAGACGGCCGACTTATTGAAAATAAACTATATATATATATTATATTATATATATATATATATATATATTATATATTATATATATATATATATATAATATATATATATATATATATATATATATATATATATATATTTTATATATATATAATTAATATTACCACCTCAGAACTGTCCTGGGGACTCTCATCCTCAGAGAAAAGAATAAACTTGCTTCAAGGAAAACTCAAGGTTCTGCCTGAAGCTATTTGAAAATTTTCTTCTACTACCTATGGTTATATTGTACCGGACTTAGAATCCCTGGAAAACCTCATTACCTCAAAAATAATATTTTGTTAAAGAAAATCCAAAGGTCATAGATAACAACTCAAAGCTACTTCTCGAATACTTCGTCCAGCTCCCCAGCAGTGGGCACGTGCCCAGAATGCTGCAGGCATTTCCTCTCTGGATCGTGACACTGAATCTCTAAAAGAGGAAGGTGGCCGTCCTGTGGTCCTTGGTTTCTATGATGAGCTTTTCACCCAACTCTTCGAGGAACTTTAGAGCACACTTGCCCCATGCTCCAAGTGTCTCCGACCCTATTAGGATGAAGTTACAGCAAGGCCTTCATATTTACGGGTCTTCTGGGTCTTACTGTGGCTGGCTGCTCCACCCTCTTCAGCTACGGAGTATGGCAAGTAGGTGATTGCCAATGTGGCGGCACAGGTGTAGTCCCAGGTGATCTGCTTTATATATATATATATATATATATAATATATATATATATATATATATATATATATATATATATATAATATATATATATATAAACTTAACGTTACTTAACCTAACCTAACCTGGCCTAATCGTGAATAGCAAATGTTGAAATTTCCGTGATATTTCAAGCATGAGGAAGTCTTGATACCGGTGATGGGATTTTGATACCGGTGATGGGATTTTGATACCGGTGATGGGCTCTTGATACCGATATATTCTTGATATATGTGATGGGCTCTTGATACCGATAGATTCTTGATACCGGTGATGGGCTCTTGATGCCTATAGACTCTTGATGCCGGTGATGGGCTCTTGATACCGATGATAGACTCTTGATACCAGTGATGTGCTCTTGATACCTGCGATGAACTTGATACCGGTGATGGACTCTTGATACCTGTGATTGACTCTTGGTACCTGTGATGGACTCTTGATACTGGTGATGGACTCTTGATACCGGTGATGGGCTTTTGATACCGGTGATGGACTCTTGATACCGGTGATGGGCTCTTGATACCGATGGTAGACTCATGATACCGGTGATGGACTTTGATACCGATGATAGACTCTTGATGCCGGTGATGGGCTCTTGATACCTGTGATAGACTGTTGATATCGGTGATAGACTCTTGACACCAGTGATGGACTCTTGATACCGGTGATGGACTCTTGATACCGGTGATGGGCTCTTGATACCGGTGATGGACTCTTGATACCGGTGATGGGCTCTTGATACCGGTGATGGACTCTTGATACCGGTGATGGGCTCTTGATACCGTAAGACTCTGATCGATGCCTTGATCAGACATCTGACCTGTCCTCCCCATCCTTGGGTCGAAACTCATTGTCTTTCACTCCTTAAGGCGATGGAAGACCCGGACGGATTTAGCGCTTCCCCACAGCTATTAATAATAATAATAATAATAATAATAATAATAATATACACGTTTCCAGTCACAAATTATAAGAAAAACCTGTTTTATTTTTCAAGACTGCCAGAAATAAAGAGAAAATTAAAGACAGATTGATCGTTCTAGAAAATGGAATTAATAATGTATTTCTCGCTGCCAGGGTTTCCTTGTTGCTTTTATATGAGTTTCCCGTTGTAACAAATCACGGCAAAATTATTAAATTATTTTAGTCTCAGTTATCATGAATATATAACTACTAAAAAGAAAAAAAACACAAGTAATTTCGAAATGTTGATGTGAGAACTCTCAGTCGAGGTGTTTGTTAAGCAGAAATTTTTTAGCATATTAATAATATTTGTAATAATAATAATGTTTATAATAATAATAATAAAATTTATAATAATAATAATAATAATATAATATAACAAAAATACAATAAGAATAATAATAAATAAGAAAAATATAATAATGAATAATATGATAATAATAATAATAAATAAATAACATTGTCTCAGAGCTATATTTTAAATATCTTTTACCAAACATTTATTTCAACTCTCAACATATTTGCTCAGCCATATTCAGTTTCAGGTTATATTTAAAAACATTCCTCTAGAAATATACGCTGCTGTTACCCTATATCAAATTTCTTTACAATCAGCTCACTGATTTTTTTTACCCATTCCCAAAACAACACTTTTATGGGGGCACGGTACGAACCCGAGCTAATGGGACGGAGATTAGGGAACTGGGGAGGATGGTGCGAATAAGTTGGTATACTGGAGGTAGTATCATTTCCTCTTTATATTTAGAGATTAAAAAAAGAGAGAGAATGGTTTCTTTAAGGTTTTAATGAACTAAATGAGAAGGGTATATATACAGATTCATATCTCTCAGTGTGTATATATTGAGTCAAATTTATATCCAAGGATTTCGACTGATAACGTACCACTATACGTTCAGCCAGGACGCCTTATTGCCAGAGAAAGTAACTCATGGAATCATTGAAGTGCAGTTTCTATTTTTAAAAGGTTGGATGGGCAAGCCAGCGGAAGGCCTCGGTCAGATGACCCGCATCGGGGTACACTTCTATTTCCTGATGAATGTTACTTAATCTAGCCCAACAGAAGTGCAGTGACGTAGCTAGGATTTCAGTCAAGGAGAGCTTAAGCTAGGAAGTCAATCTGGAATATGTGTATATATATATATATATATATATATATATATATATATATATATATATATATATATATATATATATATACATACATATATATATATATTCAACAAGTCGGCCGTCTCCCACCGAGGCAGGGTGACCCAAAAAGAAAGAAAATTCCCAAAAAGAAAATACTTTCATCATCATTCAACACTTTCACCTCACACATAATCACTGTTTTTGCAGAGGTGCTCAGAACACAACAGTTTAGAAGCATATACGTATAAAGATACACAACATATCCCTCCAAACTGCTAATATCCCGAACCCCTCCTTTAAAGTGCAGGCATTGTACTTCCCATTTCCAGGACTCAAGTCCGGCTATATAAAAATAACCGGTTTTCCTGAATCCCTTCACTAAATATTACCCTGCTCACACTCCAACAGATCGTCAGGTCCCATATACCATTCGTCTCCATTCACTCCTATCGAACACGCTCATGCACGCCTGCTGGAAGTCCAAGCCCCTCGCCCACAAAACCTCCCTTACCCGTTCCTTCCAACCTTTCCGAGGACGACCCCTACCCCGCCTTCTTTCCCCTACAGATTTATACGCTCTCCATGTCATTCTACTTTGATCCATTCTCTCTAAATGACCAAACAACCTCAACAACCCCTCTTCAGCCCTCTGACTAATACTTTTATTAACTCCACACCTTCTCCTAATTTCCACACTCCGAATTTTCTGCATAATATTTACACCACACATTGCCCTTAGACAGGACATCTCCACTGCCTCCAACCGCCTCCTCGCTGCTGCATTCACAACCCAAGCTTCACACACACACACACACACACACACACACACACACACACACACACACACACACACACACACACACACACACACACACACACACACACACACACATACACACACACACACACACACACACACACACACATATATATATATATATATATATATATATATATATATATATATATATATATATATACATATATATATATATATATATATATATATATATATATATATATATATATATATATATATATATATATATATATATATATATATATATATATATATATACTCAGATGTGATACCACGAATACAGCTCTGCTTCATTAGCTATAAACGGGAAATAAATGGGTAATGACTGATCGTGATAATGCTTGTGAAGAAACGACAGTTGCGGAACAAACATTTACTGGGACAACATTTCGTTCTGTACAGAGCTTCATCAAGTCATGACTGGGAAAAGCTCTATAGGTTTGTCAACAATAGCTTGTTCTACAACTTGTATCATCAGTATTGTAGGCGGTATGGCAGTTAAGTTCAGTGATCGTGCCTGGGGAGTAAGAAGGTATATACCCCACCTCTGACACTGAGAGTAAATAGCCCACTACTCTGGGTAGGGAACGTTTTTTATACTCCCTTTTGCATTTCGGAGCCGTGAAGTACTAAGCCCGTGTGGATTATTTAGACCAAGGAGTGATGAGGGCTCTATCCTTCGTCTCGTAATTGCACTCTGACCAGTCAAACTGCTTATAATTTCCTATAATCCAGCAGACGACTGAACGATCTACCTAGAATCACGCAGGGGAAATTCTCAGAAGATATAGTGCACTCGCTTAATGTACCCTTGTAGCCTCCTAAATCGTGCACTTCCTCTCATTGCCTCTCCCACAATGCCTCTCTACTTAAGGATAAAATAGAGTATGTATACACCGAGAAGTATTTATCTCTCGCGGTATATACACTTGGAGTTTAATCCCTGTTTTTGGGACAGATTCTTGTGGTGTACAGGTGACATGTAGCCTTAGTGACCCCTAGGGCAGTTGCTGGGCTTTAAAACATAATTGTCCAATAATCCTGCAGGGAGAGGAGGGATGGAAAACTCCTGATCACGTAGCGGAGTCGTGGGTGTCGTTGAGGCTGGTGGACGAGAACGACAACGACCCCGTGTTCAGTGAGGACCACGCCCACCTCACTCTACCCGAGGACACCCCTCCAGGCACTCTCCTCACTACCTTCACCGCCCTCGACCCTGACAAGGCTAGTCACTAGTCCTCTTCTGATGTCTTCATTTGGTCGCTTGCTGCCTTCCTTCGTACCAACCACTGTCTCTCTTCATCTCATCTTCTCAGCTCCCTCTCTTTCTTATCTTCTCCCTTTTTCTTTATATTTGTTACGGAATTATTATTATTATTATTATTATTATTATTATTATTATTATTATTATTATTATTATAACACACTTACTGTCTCCTAGGAAGGCAAGGTGGCTCAAAAAAAAAAAAAACATTCACCATCACTCATTCAACAGTTGTTTTGCCAAGTGAGGGTAGACATCACAATTCAAATGACCCTCCGAACTGCAGTATACCCCCTCCCTCTCCCTCCCTCTCCCTCCCTTCCTCCCTCCCCCTCCTTCAGAGTGCAAGCACTGCTCTAAACCACACCGCCAGGACTCAAGTCCTGCCGTCATTATTGTTAGTGACCATTCTGTAACGTTCATAAGCTTACATTTTCATTTGACTTCATTACACACTTTAATATATGACAATTAGCGCTAGCTTGCCACACGGTGTATGGTAGGTGAGCGAGATCGCTTGACATGCTTCTAGAAACTTAACAATGATAGCAGATTAGTGATAAAAAAATATCTGTGCCTATTCGCGAAACGCGATCGCAGATCATCGCAAATGAAGGTAGATCCGTGATACCCAGCCATTAACCAACACTACCCAAAAAGCATCACTCACTACCCAGCCTTTAACCGTCACTACCCAGTAACTAACCATTACTACCCAGTAACTAACCATCATTACACAGCCACTAACTATAACTAACCACAACTGCCACCACTACCTACCACTAACCACCACCCACACAGAGGAGACAGGTGGGTGCGTTACACCACTAATAGCCGCCACTAACAACTACTAATCACCACCCCACAGGGAGGACAAGGCGGAGTGCGCTACAAGATAGCTGAGGACAGCGATCCTGGGCGACAGTTCGGAGTCGATGGATCAGGGGCGGTGTGGGTGGTGGGCAACCTGGACCGCGAAACAGCGGCCGCCCACACTGTGCTGGTGTGGGCGGTGGACGACGGTAACCCACCCAGGACAGCTACTGCAACCCTCACGGTAAGGTACAGTGAGAGACAACAGTGTTAGTGAGACTAACAATGGTAGTTAATCTTAGTGAGTGGAACAGCAGTGTTAGTGAGACTAACAATGGTAATCTTAGTTTAACTATGATGTGTTAGCGAGTCTTGCAATGTTAGTATCTTAGTGACTTCCTGATAACCTTATCATCTCAGTGAGTCAGTAATAATATGGGTCTGTAATAAAGTGAGTCAGTAATACAATGGGACAGTAATAATCTCAGCAATTATTAGTAATAAAATTAGTCAGTAATAAAGTTAGTGATACAGTGAGTCAGTAATACAATGGATTTGCAATAGTCAGTAATAAAAAGAGTAATAAAGTGAGTAGTGAGTAATAAATCAGTTTATATATGGTGGTGGTGTTGGTTGCTGTGGCAGGTGAACGTAACAGACGTGAACGACAACCCACCGTTCCTGGCTGAGCCGCGACAGGTGCAGGTGGTGGAGAACGGTGGAGCCCAGGTGGTGGCCAGGGTCCGTCTGGGAGACCCTGACGACTGGCGTCAGGGCCACGGGCCCCCCTTCACTGTTGCTCTGGACCCCAGGGCCCCCCAGCACGTCGCTGACACCTTCAGGGTCACCCACGACAAGAGTGAGTTCTTTAGGTCACCCACGACATGAGTGAGTTCTTGAGGTCACCCACGACAAAAGTGAGTTTTTTAGGTCACCCACGACAAGAGTGAGTTCTTTAGGTCACCCACGACATGAGTGAGTTCTTTAGGTCACCCACGACAAAAGTGAGTTTTTTAGGTCACCCACGACAAGAGTGAGTTCTTTAGGTCACCCACGACAAAAGTGAGTGCTTTAGGTCACCCACGAGCAGTTGTTTAGGACACCCACGACAAGTTGTTTAGGTCACCCACGACAAGTGTGAGCTGTTAGGTCAGCCACAACAAGTCGTTTACGTCGCCCACGACAATAATGTGCTGAATATAATCCAAGTCAAATTTGTTTATTATACTCCATTAATATTAAAGCAATGTTTCAGATAACATTGCAATTATTAATTACTGTCATCAGAACTTTTAATACGAGATGAAAATAATTTTTTTCGAATATATATATATATATAATATATATATATATATATATATATATATAATATATATATATATATATATATATATATATATATATATATATATATATATATATATAATATACATGCGTGTGTGAATCAACCACTAATTTCTCTTCATTCCGCTACAGGAACTAAAAAAATCTTTATATTAAATTGTGAGAATGAAAGTTGAAGGCCTCTGAAGAGACCATCTTATTAAGTTATGGCTTAGGATGAATTTTTCTTTTCTGCTTTTTTGTTATCAGGGAAGACAAAGAAACAGCTCCCAATGGCTCATACATTCACTGCGCTGAGTCACAAAATTTATATACACTTTTTAATTGTTGTTTTCAAAGTACAAATGATTGCGTTGGAAATTGAATATTCAGAGGATGCTCTCTCGGATGAGCCTTTGATAGTAATAATGCACGAGAGAGAGAGAGAGAGAGAGAGAGAGAGAGAGAGAGAGAGAGAGAGAGAGAGAGAGAGAGAGAGAGAGAGAGAGAGAGAGAGAGAGAATGTGAGTGGAAGAGTACGTGTGTGTACTCACCTAGTTATGGTTGCAGGGGTCGATCATAGCCCCTGGCACCACCTTTTTGCTGGTCGCTACTAGGTAAACTCTCTTCTCATTGTGCTTTATCGAACCTCTTCTTAAAGCTATGTATGGATCCTGCCTCCACAACATCACTCTCCAGATTGTTCCACTTCCTGACAACTCTATTACTGAAGAAATACTTCCTAACATCCCTGTGACTCATCTGAGTTTTCAGCTTCCAGTTGTGACCCCTTGTTGCTGTGTCACATCTCTGAAACATTCTGTCTCTGTCCACCTTGTCCAGTCCTTTCAGTATTTTATTTGTTGTTATCATGTCCTCCCTATCCTTTCTGTCCTCTAGTGTCCTCAGGGTGATTTCCCTTCTCTCCTCGTAGGGCATACCCCTTAGCTCCGGGACTAGCCTTGTTGCAAACCTTTGCACTTTCTCTAATTTCTTGACGTATTTGACCAGGTGTGGGCTCCAAACTGGTGCTGCGTACTCCAGTATGGGCCTGACGTACACAGTGTATAAAGTCTTGAACGATTCCTTACAGAGGTACCGGAACGCTATTCTCAGGTTTGCCAAGCGCCCATATGCCGCAGCAGTTATCTGGTTAATGTGTGCTTCTGGTGATGTACTCGGTATTATACTCACTCCTAGGTCTTTCTCCTTGAATGAAGGTTGCAGCCTTTGGCCTCCTAGCCTATACTCTGTCTGTGGTCTTCTCTGCCCTTCTCCGATCTTCATGACTTTGCATTTGGCGGGGTTAAATTCTAGGAGCCAGTTGCTGGACCACGCATCCAGCCCGTCCAGGTCTCTTTGTAGACCTGTCTGGTCCGCGTCTGATTTAATTCTCCTCATTAACTTCACATCATCTGCAAACAAGGACACTTCTGAGTCTATTCCTTCCGTCATGTCGTTCACATATACCAAGAATAGCACTGGTCCCAGGACTGACCCCTGTGGGACCCCGATCGTCACCTGCGCCCACTGTGATACATCACGGACCATGACTCGCTGTTGCCTCCCTGTTAGGTATTCTCTGATCCACTGCAGCGCCCTTCCTGTTATACGTGCCTGTTCCTCTAGCTTTTGTACTAATCTCTTGTGAGGAACTGTGTCGAAGGCCTTCTTGCAGTCCAAGAAAATGCAATCAGCCCACCCGTCCCTCTCATTTCTTACTTCAATTACCTTTTCATAAAACTCTAGTAGGTTTACGACACAGGATTTGCCTTCCATGAATCGGTGCTGGCTGTCGTTTCTAATCTTGTTTCACTCCAGGTGCTCCACCACTCTCCTCCTGATAATCTTCTCCAAGACTTTGCATACTATACATGTCAGCTATTGGAGGATAGATGGGCTAATGAGAGCATAGGCAATGGGGTCGAAGAGGTATGGGGTAGGTTTAAAAATGTAGTGTTAGAGTGTTCAGCAGAAGTTTGTGGTTACAGGAAAGTGGGTGCGGGAGGGAAGAGGAGCGATTGGTGGAATGATGATGTAAAAAGAGTAGTAAGGGAGAAAAAGTTAGCATATGAGAAGTTTTTACAAAGTAGAAGTGATGCAAGGAGGGAAGAGTATATGGAGAAAAAGAGAGAGGTTAAGAGAGTGGTGAAGCAATGTAAAAAGAGAGCAAATGAGAGAGTGGGTGAGATGTTATCAACAAATTTTGTTGAAAATAAGAAAAAGTTTTGGAGTGAGATTAACAAGTTAAGAAAGCCTAGAGAACAAATGGATTTGTCAGTTAAAAATAGGAGAGGAGAGTTATTAAATGGAGAGTTAGAGGTATTGGGAAGATGGAGGGAATATTTTGAGGAATTGTTAAATGTTGATGAAGATAGGGAAGCTGTGATTTCGTGTATAGGACAAGGTGGAATAACATCTTGTAGGAGTGAGGAAGAGCCAGTTGTGAGTGTGGGGAAGTTCGTGAGGCAGTAGGTAAAATGAAAGGGGGTAAGGCAGCCGGGATTGATGGGATAAAGGTAGAAATGTTAAAAGCAGGTGGGGATATAGTTTTGGAGTGGTTGGTGCAATTATTTAATAAATGTATGGAAGAGGGTAAGGTACCTAGGGATTGGCAGAGAGCATGCATAGTTCCTTTGTATAAAAGGCAAAGGGGATAAAGAGAGTGCAAAAATTATAGGGGATAAGTCTGCTGAGTATACCTGGTAAAAGTGAAATGGTAGAGTTATTATTGAAAGAATTAAGAGTAAGACGGAGAATAGGATAGCAGATGAACAAGGAGGCTTAGGAAAGGTAGGGGGTGTGTGGACCAGGTGTTTACAGTGAAACATATAAGTGAACAGTATTTAGATAAGGCTAAAGAGGTCTTTGTGGCATTTATGGATTTGGAAAAGGCGTATGACAGGGTGGATAGGGGGCAATGTGGCAGATGTTGCAAGTGTATGGTGTAGGAGGTAGGTTACTGAAAGCAGTGAAGAGTTTTACGAGGATAGTGAGGCTCAAGTTAGAGTATGTAGGAAAGAGGGAAATTATTTCCCAGTAAAAGTAGGCCTTAGACAAGGATGTGTGATGTCACCGTGGTTGTTTAATATATTTATAGATGGGGTTGTAAGAGAAGTAAATGCGAGGGTCTTGACAAGAGGCGTGGAGTTAAAAGATAAAGAATCACACACAAAGTGGGAGTTGTCACAGCTGCTCTTTGCTGATGACACTGTGCTCTTGGGAGATTCTGAAGAGAAGCTGCAGAGATTGGTAGATGAATTTAGTAGGGTGTGCAAAAGAAGAAAATTAAAGGTGAATACAGGAAAGAGTAAGGTTATGAGGATAACAAAAAGATTAGGTGATGAAAGATTGAATATCAGATTGGAGGGAGAGTGTATGGAGGAGGTGAATGTATTCAGATATTGGGAGTGGACGTGTCAGCGGATGGGTCTATGAAAGATGAGGTGAATCATAGAATTGATGAGGGAAAAAGAGTGAGTGGTGCACTTAGGAGTCTGTGGAGACAAAGAACTTTGTCCTTGGGTGTGAAGCATGGGTGATGAATGTTGCAGCGAGGAGAAGGCTGGAGGCAGTGGAGATGTCATGTCTGAGGGCAATGTGTGGTGTGAATATTATGCAGAGAATTCGTAGTTTGGAAGTTAGGAGAGGTGCGGGATTACCAAAACTGTTGTCAAGAGGCTGAGGAAGGGTTTTGAGGTGGTTCGGACATGTAGAGAGAATGGAGCGAAACAGAATGACTTCAAAAGTGTATCAGTCTGTAGTGGAAGGAAGGCGGGGTAGGGGTCGGCCTAGGAAAGGTTGGAGAGAGGGGGTAAAGGAGGTTTTGTGTGCGAGGGGCTTGGACTTCCAGCAGGGATGCGTGAGCGTGTTTGATAGGAGTGAATGGAACAAATGGTTTTTATTACTGACGTGCTGTTGGAGTGTGAGCAAAGTAACATTTATGAAAGGGGTTTAGGGAAACCGGCAGGCCGGACTTGAGTCCTGGAGATGGAAAGTACAGTGCCTGCAAATTCTGAAGGAAAGGGGTGTTAATGTTGCAGTTTAGAAACTGTAGTGTAAAGCACCCTTCTGGCAAGACAGGTGAGGAGTGAATGGGTGGGGAAAGTTTTTCTTTTTCGGGCCACCCTGCCTGGTGGGAATCGGCCAGTGTGGGTAATTAATAATAAACATGTCAGTGACACTGGTCTATAATTTAGTGCTTCATTTCTGTCTCCCTTCTTAAAGATGGGACACATTTGCCTTCTTCCATACTTCAGGTAGTTGCCCAGTTTCAAGGAGAGTGTTGAAGATTTTGGTTAGTGGCACACGTAGTGTGTGTGTGTGTGTATGTGTGTGTGTGTGTGTGTGTGTGTGTGTGTGTGTGTGTGTGTGTGTGTGTGTGTGTGTGTGTATTTGTGTGTTGGTACTCTCCTAATAGTGGTTACAGCCCACTTACAGGGGTCGAATTACAGCTCCTGGACCTGCCTTTCCGTCAGCTGCTACTTTTTTTTTTCCTTCTCGTGGCTACGTGAGCCTTATCATACCTCTTCTTAGAACTATGCATGGATTCTGCCTCTACTACTTCACTGTCTAGGTCGTTCCACTTCCTGACAACTCTAATGCTTAAAAAAAACTGTTTACTAACATCCCTATAACTCATTTGTGTTTTAACTTCCAGCTGTGCCTTTGTGTACCTGAGACCCACCTCTAGTATGCACCTCCCTTGTTCATCTTGTGATCAATTTTTGTTCCTTTAACCTCTCCTCATAGTTCATTCCTCTTAGACTGCCTGGGTTCTTATCCGGGGGTAGCTATACCCCTTTGGGATATGGGACTCAATCTCTGAACAATTTAAAAAAAAAAAAGTTGTTAGATTAGAATAAACTATCAACTGTTCTGTTCCTAGCTATCCATATGTTAAGTAAAACCAAGCTATTGACATCTTTTGAAGTCATAATGGTATCTAATGGGACTGGTGATGATGATAATGATTTCGATAGTCTGCTGAAAGGGGTATGGGGACATACTGAGCAATCCACTGGAGGTCTGTAACCGTAAAAAAGCTTTCAGAACCCCTGTCTCAGAGGTCTGAAACTAGTTCATTTCAACCATTACACTTTAAACTCCGTCTTCTTGACAAGCTTTGTCAGATGTTGGTTCCATTCTGGTGCTGCATACTCCAAGATAGGCGTCACAAATTTCGTATAGAATGTCATGAATGACTCCTTGTTCGGGTTCCTGAGAGCTGTCCTTAAATTTTCCAATCTTGAGTTTGCTGTGGCGGCTATTCGGTTGATGTGTGCCTCAGAAAATATACTTGGAACTGCGCTCATTCCGAAGTCCTCTATCAGCGAGATTTCCAGCCTTGGTCCCCCAAGCTTGTACTCCGTTTCATGTCGAGTTTGCCCTTCCTCAGTTATCAAAACTTTGCATTTTCTGGGTTAAATTTCAGTCTCCACTTGTCACACTATTCTTGCAGTTTATCTAGATCCGTTTGTTGTCTCTCCTTGTCTGCTCTTGTTTGTATCATTCACATTAGTTTTGCATTATTTGCCACCAGGGATACCTCTGACTCACGAGATCGTAATGACACGATTGCAAACAAACCATACGACGGGTGGTATGGCCATGGTATGTGTCATGTCGTTTTCAACCATAAGAAATAGTACTGGTCCTAGTACTAACCCTTTTTTAAGCCCACTCTTCTTGGTTGCCCATTCGGAAACCTCTTTCCGTGTGTATGTGTGTGTGTGTGTGTAGAGAGTGTGTGTGTGTGTGTGTGTGTGTGTGTGTGTGTGTGTGTGTGTGTGTGTGTGTGTGTGTGTGTGTGTGTGTGTGTGTGTGTGTGTGTGGTGTATGTGTGTGTGTGAGTGTGCGTGTGCTCGTACGCGTGGACATGCGTAAGTGCGTGTGCACTCCTTACTCGCCCACACTCGAAATGTTTATGTAAGGCACATTAAAGTGGACATTTATTTATACGTTCAAAACTCTAGAAATATTCAGGCCAACTGGATACATATTAAGTATCGACACATAATTTAGCAAAAGTGTTTCGATGCCAGTGAGATTCCGTTGGAATAAAGCCAGTGCTTTGCATATTCAATAATGAAGGTGTCTGCGTGTCTCTCTTGTTAACTGGGAAAAACTGACAAACATTTCATTGCTGGAAATATGATGGAACATCCTATTTGTTGTGACATCCGATTTGATTGGAAATTCAGTTTGATGGGATACGCTACTGATGGGACATTGTTAGGTGAGACTTCATATACGATGGGACATTCTATATTAAAAGACGTCTTAGTTGCTCCTGCCTACTTTCTGTACTTGACTGAAGAAGCCTACTGTGTAGGGGAAACGTTTCGGAATGAAGATGCCTAAATGTTGCCTGTGTCTTACCTATTGTATGTCATTTTCATGATATAATTTCTCAGTGCCTACTGAGAGTCTTGACTGGTCACCCTCCTTTGATTCCTATGTTGCACAACAAGCAACTTATGAGCAAGCACTCAGCTGGTCCTTGACTATTCAGAATCATAATTGTACTTTGGAAAACTAGCAGAGAAAAGTGCTGTAACACGTAACTGCTACAACTGATGAGGCTCCCTTCATTAGAAATGTGAATGAACAATAATTTTGTCTGCGCAAATTCAGTGTATGTGCACAGTGTATGTTGACAGTGCTGCAAAGATTCAGTTAAGAGAACACAAAACATGCAGTTCCGAAGAGTTCTTGTTTCAAGAAGGTGGGAAGATGCCACGTATACCATCGTGACTGTAGCTACGACTAAGTGCGTGAAGACGACTGGCTTAAGATTCACTGGAAATGTGTGAATCCCAACTACTGACACTACGCCCATCATTTTTAGTCTCCTGCTGGACACACAGACTCAATCAGCTTAATGATTCCTACACAAACAACCACGCCAGCATCACACCCTTCGTTTCCTTTTGCTTTCCTTCAATTTCAACATAATCCCTTTTAGCTCCCCTTTTTAAAACTGATGTATTTCATCCTTTAATTTTCTCCCCATTTGGACTGATTGTTCCCTTATATTTTTTATCCGTAACCCTGTTGTTTATTTCTGATCCTTTCCTTTGAAACCTTCAGTTCCCATGCAGTATGTTAGTCATCTTCAAACAAAGCAGTATGGCAATAAGGAAGAAGAATTACAGATGGAGAGAAAACTTTTATTGTGACAACAGTTTGCTTTATACTTAGCTCTACATAAAGCAAAATATCACCACGATAAATGTTTGTTCTCTAAATTTTTCTTTTCTTCATCCAACTCTTTACTGAATCATTTTTAAGCATCTTGATGCTTGCATGCTATTTATTTCCAATGTTTTCCTCAAACTCGTATTAACGATTGCCGAGATTGTGTTCTCACACTCGCTTTCCTTCACACATTTCTCTTGGTGAGTTGGACTAACATGAAGTTATTAGGTTTTGTGATTATATATCAATGTGTCAGTAGCTGGTTGTGCAGTTATGTGTTAGTAGTTTTATTATTGCAATGATGGCGGGTTATATAGAAGTGTAAAGCGACTCTGGCTCTATTAGGTGGTTGGGTCGTCGTTGGTGTACCTGTGACTTGTAGAATTTGACACATGGGCAACATCTAGGTATTTTTACTGTAGACGTTTAGCCATCCAGCAGCTCTATGAATACAAATTCAAGGACATAATTGGAAGACAGTAGAACTATATACAAAAATTGTACATGTAAAACCACCTCTGAATTGTATTAGATAAGTTTATTCTGAAGGGTATTTCAGCCCACATCGAACACTAATGATGATTTCCCTCCTGTATTAATTCTGTGTTTTTTTTAGACGTCATTACTCGGACAACTCTATAGAGACACTAATATAACTCCTTTGTTGTATGAGCTCTCGACTTTTAAATACTTTTAACACACTAAACTCTCATGTTTATGATGTTTATCAGGCTTATTCGGTGATATACAGTAGATGTGGACTCTACCTCAGGAGAAAAACACTGGAAGTGGAATAGAAAGAGTAATTTTGAGGTAAAGGCAAAGCAAGATTTGACTGCTGTAATGAAAGCTAGTACACAGGCTAATATATTTGCCATTAGGCAGTCAATAATTCGGAGTCCACAAGTCAGTTTCAAGAAATCGTTCTCCATATTTTATATGTACTCGTTACGAATTGACGACCGAGGCAATGTTGAAATTTTGTTGGTGTTATAACTTTATAGAGAGTGGTAAACAGTGTGTGTGTGTGTGTGTGTGTGTGTGTGTGTGTGTGTGTGTGTGTGTGTGCAAGAGAGAGAGAAAGAGAGTTAGTACTCAAGAGACGGCGACGTAATCTGGGCGTGGCGTACACTTACGTATATTCAGTACTTCAGCTATCTCGTCCTTCCTTAAAATAACATCGAGCCCAGCTGGTGTGTTGGGCCAAGCCCACCCATTAAGGTGGGCTTGGCCCAATGTAAGTTTTGTTTAAAAACACGTAAGTAAGCAAAGACATATTTATTAAGAAACGTTTCGGGCCTAATAAATATGTCCTAGTGTTGTCTCACGTGTCTTTTTAAACCAGTATCAGTTATAGAGGTTTATACCTTTATAATTTTTAAGGTTTACTTACCACTACACTCGTGGTGTCGTCTGCTGGTTAGATAACTTTCACTCGTTCTATAAATGTCTGTCTATCACATCTCTTAGTCGTCACAATTTTGCCTCAAACTTCGAGATATTGAAATAAGTCCCGTTGACATTATACTATAGTAAACTAACTTCCAAGGGCACAATGGTACCCTATTAACTGGGCACTTTCCTCCATAACGCTAATCACTCAGCAAGCAGCAACCGCGCGTACTGGATGGAGGAAGTGTCTTGAAGGATCACTTCCTTGACCTGCTACCGAGGGAGCTGCTAGCCCCCCGTAGAGCACTAAATTAGTCGATCTAGCACCTTTTCATTTCAGAGACAGCCATCTTGATCTATTACTACTCAAAATAAATAAGAATATTATCAATACAGGGTGTCGCTTGACTTGAAAATACCACAAGAATGTAGTTGTAGTATATTCTTAGGAGGTATCATTGGCATAACTCACGGCTTATTATTTTTATTTATATTTCGAAACACCACACTGGAGGTTTGTTATTTTCACTCCTGTTAACACTTGTATATTCTCTAGCTTATCCTTAGTATATGGGAAACTGTTCTCCACAGTGGGCATGGGGTGAGCGAGGTGTGGGACTGGTGTGGGTAAGCACTAAGTAGTGCAGCTGTGTGTTTGTTCCAAGCAGGAGGGGACGAGGGGCGTGGTGTGGGCGTGGTGTGGGCGCGGGCGGGGCTGGACAGGGAGGAGCGCCGTTCCCTGTTAGTACCGTTGTTAGTGGCAGACGCTGGATGGCCGCCGCTCACCACCACAGCAACTCTCACTGTTCACGTTGCTGACCTCAACGACAATCCCATGACACCCGCTTCCAAGACTGTCACTGTCTACATCCTCCAGGTCAGTCACTGTCACTGTCCACACCCTCCAGGTCAGCAAATGTCCACACCCTCCAGGTCGGTCACTGTTCACACCCTGCAGGTTGGTCACTTGTAACTGTCACTCCACTCTTGACAGGTTATTGACAGGTTGATAATATTGACTGGCAGGAGTCATTTTTTACTGAACAATTAATATTTCCTCTCTGTCTCATTATGAAGGCCTCTGTTTAAAATTACATTAATGTGCATCATTGTTGATCGCTTTATATATATATATATATATATTATATATATATATATATATATATATATATTTATATATATATATATATATATATATATATATACATATATATATTATATACAATATATATATATATATATATATATATATATTATATATATATATATATATATATATATTATATATATATATATATTATATATGTCGTGCCGAATATGTAAAACTGGTCAATTAGCAAGAACTCATTTAAAATTAAGTCCTTTCTAAAATTTTCTCTTATACGTTTAAAGATATATTTTTTCATTAATGTTAATGTAAAAAATTTTAATTTTGCACCAAAAGAATCTTAGAAAACTTACCTAACCTTATTATAACAAATGCAATTTATTTTAGCCTAACCCAACTAAATATATTTTAGATTTCTTTACAATAATTTAATACTAAACAAACACAGTGAAACATATTTTTTTTCGTTAGATTAAGAATGATTTTGGCGAAATTATTGCATACACAAATTTTCACTTGTCCTATATGGCAAGATGAGCGTTGCTATTTAAGCCAAGATCGCAAGTTCTGCCTATTCGGCACGACATATATTATATTATTATATATATATATATATATATATATATTATATATATATATATATATATATATATATATATATATATATTATATATATTTGTGTGTGTGTCCATATACGTGTATTTGCCTTTGTTTAAGTCTGTATCTGACTTTGGCTCAGTGGGTTCATTTTCAATATGAGGTTCGAGGTTCTGACCTGAGGGTTGGTGAGAATGGGAAGGAAGAGGGAGGGGAGGGCTGGAAAAATGGAAGAGGTTGGGAAGGTGGAGTAAGAGGTGGGGTAGCAGAGGTACTGCAGGAGGTTGTGCTTGAGCGAGATGTGCTGATGGCAGCAGTGTCAGTAGAGTAGGGCTGGCACTCAGATGCCTGGCAGGAGATTCAAGAAATATCTATTTATAATATAAAAAATACAAAATCTGTATGTAATTTAAGAAAATAGTTTGAATAAGATGGTTTTCAGCAAATATTAATGTAGTTATCTTTTTTGTGTTAATTTTTTTCTGCATTAGAAGTAGTTAAACAAGAGCCTCAACTGTATACACAATACAAGGAGTGACATTTTCTGTATAAGGGATTCATGTGACTTTGATGTCAATGCGACCTTAATGACCTTCATTTGGTATATAAATGCAGCCCTAATTAAGTTTTATTTTTTGCACTCTTGACCCATTGAATAAATTCGGAAGCGATACTTTGTATAGCCATATGAGATATCAGTACCCTGTATCTTATAATACATTTGTATCCTGCATCCCATTAGACATCTCTATCCTGCATCCCATAAGACATCTCTATCCTGCATCCCATTAGACATCTCTACCGTGCATCCCATAAGACATCTACCCTGCATCTCATAAACTGACTCGCGTCCACTTCACAGCAAGTCATCGTAGTAGTACACAGCGCTGTATGTGAGTTTCTAATGCAGTTAAATACATAAGCCTTAAAGATTTGAAGCCAGTCAAAAGAACCGTTCACAAGTTATCGAAAGGAAATTAATATCTCAATTTCTTCAATATAAATGACAAACTGGCAGCTACACAGCCCAAAAGGAATCCGAACCTTCCAGTAAGGTACACCAGCTTTGAAATTTTCCAGGCACTCAGAAGAGGCATTACTATTTAGTTATCGCATAGAGACAAATATTCCAAATTACACCAGCGCTTTTAGGTTTGAAGCCTCTCAGGAGCTATATTACCAGGTTATGGGTAATGAAGGTTTGAAGCTGACTGGGTGAGGCATTCAGAAATTATCACAAGAAAATCTGTATTTAAAATTTCCCAATTTCTTTAAAAAATGGACAGACTGGACCTACACGGCCCAAAATAAATTCAAATTTTTCTCCGAGTCAGATTTACGAGTGTTGGAAGTCTGAAGCTGATTACGTGATGCATTCTCAACTCATTCCGTGAAAACCAATTTATCTGCTAAAACTGGCTCAATAAAACTTATACCATTCAAAATCTATCCGAAACGCTGAAAGTTTGAAGCCCATCAGTCAATGCATTCTCAAGTTATGGCACAGAATCCAGCAACTCCAAGTTTAATAACCATGTTAGTAAATTGTTAAAATTTTCACCCATCGCCCATTATAAAATAAGGCTCTCCAAAGGAGACCTATACAATTAATTTTATGGGAAAAATGAAACTCCATTTTAGAAATAAAACCGGCAGATTTCCACTTTGATAACAATTTCATTCTTCTAATAAGGATGTTGAAAGTTAGAAGCTGATCGGAAGAAGCTTTGTCTATTGCACGAAACCTAAATTGGGAATGGTCTGTGCACCAGTGGTTCTCAACCTTCCTACACAAGTGGCCACATTTGATGGTCAAATATGTGATGAGTTGCAGACGGTTTTCTTGACACTGTGCAGTGTGGAATCTACATAAAAGTGAATTCATAATTTCATATGAGAGCCGCAGTCATTTCGTAGTAGGGCCACAGGCCGCCCTCGGGCCACTCTCGGGCCACAGGTTAGGACCTGCATGTATAGGTCCCTCCTGGCATGCCCAGGAGAGACCTGCACATGCCAGCAGTTCCATAGTTCACCTCTGTTGAAAATTTGAAGGTGTGGCATTCTGAAGTTTCAGTAAAAACTTGGCAGGAAGAAAGGATCACTGTACCTAGGTCTATGGTTGCCTCTCCAGCAATAACCTACAAACATTTCAAATGTTATAACGGGAGTTCTAGAAAAAAAAAACTCCATTTCTCAATTTTCTTTTTTTTTCATCTATCTCAAATTCACAAGAGTCATATATAAAGTAGTGTATTTGATTTTCGTTTTTTTTTTTTAGTGCACGGGAATGAAGTAAAACCTTGCTGACTCCCACACTGTCAAATAACTGGCCAAAGTTTCCTCAGTGTAGGATACATCAGCAAAGTTTCCTCAGTGTAGGATACATCAGCAAAGTTTCCTCAGTGTAGGATACATCAGCAAAGTTTCCTCAGTGTAGGATACATCAGCAAAGTTTCCTCAGTGTAGGATACATCAGCAAAGTTTCCTCAGTGTAGGATACATCAGCAAAGTTTCCTCAGTGTAGGATACATCAGCAAAGTTTCCTCAGTGTAGGATACATCAGCAAAGTTTCCTCAGTGTAGGATACATCAGCAAAGTTTCCTCAGTGTAGGATACATCAGCAAAGTTTCCTCAGTGTAGGATACATCAGCAAAGTTTCCTCAGTGTAGGATACATCAGCAAAGTTTCGTGAGTGTAGGATACATCAGCAAAGTTTCGTGAGTGTAGGATACATCAGCAAAGTTTCCTCAGTGTAGGATACATCAGCAAAGTTTCCTCAGTGTAGGATACATCAGCAAAGTTTCCTCAGTGTAGGATACATCAGCAAAGTTTCCTCAGTGTAGGATACATCAGCAAAGTTTCCTCAGTGTAGGATACATCAGCAAAGTTTCCTCAGTGTAGGATACATCAGCAAAGTTTCCTCAGTGTAGGATACATCAGCAAAGTTTCCTCAGTGTAGGATACATCAGCAAAGTTTCCTCAGTGTAGGATACATCAGCAAAGTTTCCTCAGTGTAGGATACATCAGCAAAGTTTCCTCAGTGTAGGATACATCAGCAAAGTTTCCTCAGTGTAGGATACATCAGCAAAGTTTCCTCAGTGTAGGATACATCAGCAAAGTTTCCTCAGTGTAGGATACATCAGCAAAGTTTCCTCAGTGTAGGATACATCAGCACTCAAACTTGAAGTCACACGCTCAAATATTCACAGATTATTGAATGAAAACCAGAACTGTAATTTGTCCAATACATGTGACAAATTGGCTCCTATATATACCTCTCAAGATCAATCCGAAAGTTTATCCTATTAAGGTACACCGACGTTTAGAGTTTGAAATCAATCAGTATAAGTATTTTCTAGCTATCGTAACGTAGCCAGTTTCTTTTTCATTTTAAGTCAAACTGAAACTAACATCAGCCTAAAATCAGTGGAACTTTCCTTTGAGAAAAGCTCATCATCGCTGAAGTTTGCAACAGACTAGAAGAAACATTCTCCAGTCATTGTTCGGGATAAATATATTCCAAGTTTATTAGCTAAATTAGAAAACTGGCTAATTTTCGTATAAAAAAAATTGACCTCATTGGGTACCATCCTGTCCATAATATGCGTTAGCCATTTAGTATTGTAACACTATTACTGTATTTTGAAAATAAAATTGTGGGATTTGACCCTACACGCTCAATAATAATCCTAACTTTCTTTTGAGTAGTATGCCAAGGTATAAAAAGTTAGAAGACGAGCAGAAGAGGCATTCTCAAGCTGTTGCAAGAAACTATATTTGGGAATGGTCTTTACATAATTAATATAATTGATGTCAGTCGAATAAGGAATTCTCAAGTCTTATAAACGAAAACCTAGGAGGTAGATTTTTTTTCAAGCAACCATTTAAAGGCTCGCCTTCAGTGATACCTAATCACGCCACAAAATCTCCGATCTCTGTGATATAAAGCTTCTTACGAATGTTGGTAAGAGTTTCCCTTCAGAGTGGTGGAGCAGCGGTGGAGCAGCGGTGGAGCAGTAGAACAGTCTGCTGACGAAAGTTGTGGATGCCGGATCATTTCTATCATGAGCCGTGTACATGTACACTTTGCAGACAGAATTCTGCTAGGCGAATTTCCCCTCCGTGCAATGAAATGGTTATGACGATGACCATAATTTTTAAAGTGGTAGATTGGTAAGCCAGCAGAAGGCCTCGGTCAGATGGCCAAAAGCTCCAACGGCGGGTGTAGCGCAGAAGCTATTATGATATTTGGTTATTCATGTCCACCTGAGGCCCGTTATCGAAAAGTAAAATGTGTGGCATCTATAAGTAGAACCGCTGGTACATACAACTCTGACGGCAGTGGATCACCTGAGTTGGTTGTAACAACAATAGTACACAGTATATATTAATTTTTATTCTTTCATGACCGCAGATTTGATTCATGGAACTGTGTGATGAGAGTTGTTATTCTCACCGCTAAGCCTACCACTGAAGTGATAGGGAGTGCCTTGATGTCGATGAAGGGCTTTCGATCCATGAAATTGGAGCTACCCTACTTTTCCTTGGATCAAACATGATTACCTCCCATTTCTCAGGAGCCATATGACCCTTGCGGGTTTAGCGCCTCCCCATGGGGATAAAAAAAATGAGGGTGAGATGTCGTTGAGAAAAGATCAGCTGAGTTTGAAGCTGCTTGTGGCTACCCGTCTTGTGGTATAACAACCGTTTTTTGTCTCTCCTACCTCTTTCTCCCACACTTCTCATCTTTTTAAGCTCAAGGAAGACTTAAGTGCCTCTTTTGTGTATCTTAGCTCCCCTACTTGCCAATCCAGCCATAATGGACACCATCACTCTCACGAGGATTCTACAATGCCAACCCCTCTCTCACTGCTTCAGTTATATGTGGGTCGGTGCCTCTGGGGAGAGTGCCCCTTTCTCCTTTCTTCTCACCTCCACTTCTCTCACTCGCTGCTGCAGGCATTATTGATGCCTCTGCGATGACTCTCGCACTTTTCTTCCCACTCCCTCTGCAGCAGTTGTGTGAAAGAGTTTTTTCAGCTTAGGGAGATTACCATTCTCTTCCTCTCCTCTGAGTGCTGCCAGGAAGGGTGGCACTCTCTCACATCTGGCCTCTTTCCTCCACCCCATGGGGCCATTACCCCTGAAGATTGTGTAGTTATCCCTTCCTCTAACCTCCAGTCCCTCTTTTTTCTTCCTTCACACACAGGGAAAGGGGTGGGGCTGATCGTGATCCAGGGAGGAGTCATTCTCCCTCCCTTTCACCTCTCCCTCTTTCACCTCCCATCCACATGGGGATCCGGTTCCCCTGGCAAAAGTGCCTTCCTCACTCCTCTCCCTCACTTCCTAGCCCCTGGGAAAGGTACCTTCTTTCCACCTCTTTGTCTTTCCCCCCGAAACAGAGACAGTGTCCCTGGAGTGTCACTCCCTCTCACTTCTCCCTCCCTTCACCCCAATCACAGGGTGGGGAAGTCGTTGCCTCCTGGGGAGAATGTCACTCTCACTTCTCCCTCTCTTCCCCAGCCACATGGAAAACCAGTGCCTCTGGGAAGGGTGTACGTGGAGGACCCCGACGACTGGGACTCCACTTCCAAGACCTACACCTGGAGACACCATCTTGACGGCTTCTTCCTTCACTCCTCCACCGGTGACCTCACCATGGCTCCAGACACCCCTGACGGCCGGTACGTGAACCTTCCCCTTAACGGTCTGTATGTGACTCTTACCTTTATTGGCCGATAAATGAAGTTTTTTCTTAATGGTTAGCACCTGAACATTCTCCTATCATTAGTGATCAGTAGTTGAATAATAATTATTTTATTATTATTATTATTATTATTATTAATTATTATTCTGTATAGGAAAGTGCCACCTCTAGTGCTAATCGGTGACCCTCAGCCTCAGAGAGGAAAATAAACATTCTTTAGGAAAAAAAAGCTAAGAGATTTCTCGCTGAAGCTGATGCAGAAACCTAGTGGAAAATCTTAATTTAAGTTTAGGAGTTCCTCGAGTTTCCTAGAAACTACTCCGAAACCCAAGATGCAGCCGATATTACCTCTATAGATCGCCACACTGACGCAGTGGAAGAGAAAGGTGGCAGCCCTCGGGTTTCTCGTGGTCTCGAAGATCATGGTACTCGGTTCTTTGAGGAAACCCATGGTATGCTTTTCCGCCAAGCCCTTATACTTGCTGAGCGTGTGATCGTCCCTGTGATTAGCAGCATCAGCCAAGGTAGATGCCAGCGGTCTACCCTTCTCCCAGATGATATAAGGTGATCTCATCAGGGTAGCTGGCAGGTGTATCCGGGTTGTATCGAGGTTCTCTATTGGCTGGACACTGTGTTGTAGCAAGTCTTTTCTTGATATTTAATAATTAATTATTATTGTCTTGATAATATCTTTAACTCATTGTGTCTAACATGCTATCTTCTAGAACTTGAACAGTTCAGACCATGCAGAACATATCGATCGACTACAACTTTGCCACAAATACACTTGTACCCAGTGTGAATAGGGACAGCAAAACAAAGAGCCATTGCAAAACGATGGGTCTGCGGGTCACAGTCACAAATATGAGGTTGTTGGAGTATTTCTGAAAACTTTTTACTTAGGTCAACTAGTCTGGTAGCTGCCTGAGTGCTTGCCGTTTTAGGATTATGTGGCAGAGCCTTGATAGATTGATTGTTTCTTTGAGACTATTTGTTGAGGTAAAGCTTGAAGGCGTGGTATCTCTGCTTGCTGGGAGGAACTGTCTGTCTTTCTTCTACAGAGGAAGAAACAAGGTGACTAGACACCCGGAGTTGTAACTGTGTTGGTGGATTGAGCCAGTACTACTGTTAACATTCCACCTTCTGTTGCGTTTCCGACACATGCCACGCCTCTCCCAGCTTCGCTCTGACATCCTTGTCTTGAATGAGCCTGGTTATCATCCCCGGCTTCATTCATTGACAGTTGTGAGGATAAAGCTAGGCTGTACTGAGAGGCACTGGAAATGATGTCTTTTTTTATTATTGTACAAAAACTGGATTCATCAGCATTACGCTGTTGCTCTGTTCGATATGATTGTTACGCCGTGGGAAGCTATGACTCAAACTGTGCAAGTAGAGTTTGATCAATACACTCCTACCACCTCCATCGGCGGAGGAACTTATGATGATTCAGACATAAGCACAAAAAATATTATTAGAAAATTATCATTAAAAAGCAACAGTTTATCACTTACATCTGCATTTTTAATACAGCTGCATTATTAATACAGCTGCATTTTTAATACAGCTGCATTTTTAATACAGCTGCATTTGTCACATTATTTGTTATATTATCATATTAGTTGGTGTAAAAACCTGCATTTTTACATGTTTTTAATCTGAATTAACATGTTAAATAAAATTACATTTCTTTTCACAATTTCTGTCAATGTCTTTATGATAAAAAATGAATATTGTCTTTTCCCTGAGCTAATATTGCTTTATTTATGGTTATTATTGAACGTGCAAAAGAAAGTCACTTTTTAACTTTGAATTAGTTGTAATATGCTTAGGAAAATTATTTTTTTTCTCTCTGAGCAGCTTTAATGTGTTATAAAATATATTTATTTGATGTGTTGTAATATGTTTAAAAAAATAGTTGCAATATGCAATAGAAAATTATATTTTTATCATGGATTCAGGTGTGACCGTCCCACGAGCGAACGGAGGATCGAGTCTCCATTATTTCATGACCTGAATGGCCCACACTGCTTTAACGCTTTACAAAAATATAATACCATGATAATACTACAATTACTTTGCCTTTAACCCCCCTCCTTTCAAGAGGGTTTAAGGCAGGTCTCTCGATCAAAGGAGTTTACGCTACCTTCCCCCTTTATAGGATCAGATCTTGTTTACTCCCAATCCCTTTGAGTTGTATGATCCGTAAGGACTTAATAATTCTCATTTGATATAATAACAAGGTAGCAGGGTTCGAGTCCTGGAGATAAACGTACAGTGGCTGAACTGTGAAGGAGAGGTGTGAAGGTTGATGTTCGGAGGCCATCTGACGTAGTGTGATGTCAGCACACTTCTGGCAAGACAGTGATTGAATGAATGACGGTTAATGGGTTTCGTCTTTTTTTTAAGGATTAATAATAATAATAATAATAAAAATAATAATAATAATAATAATAATAATAATAATAATTAAGGATTAATAATAATAATAATAATAATAATAATAATAATAATATAATAATAATTAAGGATTAATAATATATAATAATAATAATAATAATAATAATAATTGTAATAATAATTATAATAATTATATTTATCATTTAATAATTATTTTTTTGGACCTTCCTCGGCAGGTACGAGTTGGGTTTCCTGGTAAGTGACATCAGTCAAGGTCAAACAGACATCGAAGCCAACGTCACTGTCCAAGTCACTGCCCTCGACCCCCGTGACGTCATGGACGCCACTCCCCTCACGCTGGCCACAGAGAGTCATCGCGTGGTGAGGGAAGAGGGAGAGGTGAGGGAAGAGGGAGAGGTGAGGGAAGAGAGAGAGAGATGAGGGAGGAGGGAGAGATGAGGGAGGAGTGAGAGGTGAGGGAGTATGGAGAGGTGTACATGGAGAGTACATGGGAAAGACATATAACAGAGGACTTGGGAGTATCCACACCGTGCTTGTCCCTTGAGAACAACGTTTGACTTTTTTCGTGATTAAGGAATATCGTGTATTATCTAGGTGTTTGAGGCAAGGATAGTATAACACGGGCGGAGTGAGAGATGAGAGTAGTTGGGAGGGAGATGAATTGTTTTGAGTTAGGAAGATTTCAGGGTTAGACAGAGAGAGAGAGAGAGAGAGAGAGAGAGAGAGAGAGAGAGAGAGAGAGAGAGAGAGAGAGAGAGAGAGAAGAGAGAGGTGGTGCGCTGGGTCGATCATTTCATTGCCTTTCTAGTGAGTGTGTACAAATCTTACAGCATACTTCTGTTCCTTTACATTTAATATAGAAAATAAAATCTTTACATCACTAATTACTAACAAGTAAGTTTATTCAGGTACATGTATACATAAATATAGTTACATAGATTATCATACATAGCAGCTTATGTGTAGATTACCTAGGATAACCCAAAAAAGTCAGACAAAGTGACTTACTCCCATTGGGTACTTACCTAGTACTCACCTAGTTGTGGTTGCAGGGGTCGAGTCATAGCTCCTGGTTCCGAGTTCAAAATAACCATTAATTTTACCATAAGTCAAACATACTCTGCCCCTATATCCCTCCGATCTCTTTACTTAGCTTTTGTTCCCACTGTGTTACTATCATATAGAATAATTGGGTGGCAGAATTCTGCTGATTTATCTAATTTTGAGAGAAAAAACTCACTCTTACTTTCATATCAGTCACTGTTCTCTGTGTGAAGAGTGCTCTGTCTATTAGAGAGCATACAAAGAAAACTTTAAAAGTGGGAATAACTAGACAGAAGAAATAACCAAACAAGTGGTTGGACAAGTGGTGGGACTAGTGGTTGGATAAGTGGGAAACGGCCGACGTGTTAAAATAATAATAATAATAATAATAATAATAATAATAATAATAATAATAATAATAATAATATTATTATTATTATTATTATTATTATTATTATTATTATTATTACCATCATCATCATCATTTTCTAAACAGTTACATTAGAGTTACAAAGGTAGATTTACGGCGCATATTTCTTACATGGGAAATTCCATGGGATTAATAAGCCGAAGCAAAAAACCTTCAGTACAGAAACTTTGCTGGTTCCTTTCTATCTTCAAATCTCATTGCTTGCCCTTCCTTATATTAACCGCTAAGCCACACCTCATTCTCTTCCAGTACACAAATACTAACGGGCATACTATTGGCAACTTTCCCACACTACAGAGGGAACATTTCTGACTGATTCCCCCCTCAAGGAAGGTTCCTTGATGTTGGTGAGGGGCTCTTGATTTAGGGAATTGGATCTGTGCTCCAGTTCCCCGAATTAAGCCTGAATGCCTTCCACATCCCCCCCCCAGGCGCTGTATAATCCTCCGAGTTTAGCGCTTCCCCCTTGATTATAATAATAATAATCTGACTGATTCAAACTTATTGGCTCACATTATGTTAGTGCACTAAACGCTTGTTCAAACAACTGTGTACCACGTTTTATTATATTAATATCTTTACTTACTACTAGTATTACAGGCCTAGCTGTTATGCAGAGCATTTCGGGCAAATTAGGTCGGTTTTGTCCCAGGATGCGACCCACACCAGTCGACTAACTCCCAGGTACCCATTTTACTGACGGGGAACATAGACAGCTAGTGGTAAAGAAACACGCCCAATGTTTCTACCCTCCCTGGGAACCGAACCCAGACCCTCGCGGTGTGAAGCGAGAGCTTTAGCTACCAGGCCAAGGGGCACCGTGGTACACAAGACCGACAAGCAGAATAATAAGACACATGTGAAATACCTGGGTAACGTAGGGAATGATCGCCCGAGGGACTGATCATCTCAAATTGCCACTTCACGTTTTCCACCGTCTCTGTTATTCATTCTCTGTACTGGATTGATAAAACCACTGGTTGGCGGAACATCTCTACAATAAAAATATCCGGGTTCCACGTCATTTCATAGTGGCTAAAATTCCAGCCTCAGCACATTTGATGTTCCTCGTACTACCAAGACGTCAGACTAACAACATCGACGCATCGTCAGCCTTCGCCTCTGGTAGTATAGACATAATTTCTTGAAGCACACGTATCAGTTGATGTTATCTTAAAAAAAAAAAGAGGTGAACCGGTAAGCCAGCTCATAGTGGCTGGTTTTTGTTATTTGCATATTCGAGGTATAAAAGAAAAATACCTTAACTCAATCTAAATGAAGTCATCTTATCCAAAGCCAACCTAACCTAATTCTGCTACTGTTATTACTGTTTCCCTCGTAAGGGATGTCTTGGTGCTGGTGAAGGGATTCGGATTACGGAATTGGGACTGCCCTTCTCTTCCTGGGATGATACCTGATAACATCTAGTTCCCCAGGAGCTATAGGACCCTTGCTGGTTCAGCGCTTCACTGTGATTATACTATTACTGCTATTACTGTTGTTACTACTACTGCCACTACTACCATGTCCCGTCTACCAAGAAACTCACAACTTATCATTTCCTACAGCATTTTCATTTATTACTATACCTACTATTGTTGATTTTTTTGTAGAAAAAAAATAACTCGGGAGACGTCTCCCGAAACGGTATGACATCCTTATCGTCGTTCACAGGGAGGGACATCCATACTGAGCCGGCTGGTGGAGGCAGCGCGGGCGTGGGTAGAGGTGGGTAGAGGGAGCGTGCGGGCAGTGTCGGTAGAATCCCTGGAGGAACTAACGACCTCGCCCAGCACTCGGGTCTGGCTTTCGTCCTCTGGGATGGCCAACTTCGATCAACTTCTGATGTATAGAAAACACGAGGTTAGACCCAGGAGACTTCACGCAAGTACCTTGCTTGATCCCAGTGACGTACTTTCCAACAATATCACAGACAACTAGTACGCTGCTAAGTGGGCTTTCACTGGGGGCAAGATTTCGCTCTGTGGTCAACTTTATTAAGCCATGCTTGATAAGGCTTTACAGAGAGGGAAACGTTGCCCTAAGGCTTGTTGTCGGGCACGTTTTTTCCTCACTGGAACGTTACTTTCGCATGTTGTGATTTTTTGTTCTCTAGAAGATATTCTGTGTGATAATTCCAGCAGTCCAGCGATCTCTTCTTTAAGACACAACTATGCAAGTTATGCTTTCATATAAAAAAATACACTATTAATGTTCTGTCTTGGCTGAAACTGTTTTGTATCTCGTACGGACAGCTTAGCCAAGTCATAGGTGTGGATATTAAGGACGTGGGCGTGATCACGTGCAACCAGACTGGCTACGAGAACGCCCGCGGGGACTCCCATGAGGTCGCCCACGGGCTGAGCAGGTGCATCAGTGGGTGTCGGGCGACCCTGGGCGAGGGTTTCAGTGTGGTGGATGCCAACACTTCGGCCCTGGTGGGCCCTAGAATAAAGGTGCTCACCACTTGCAGCTGTGGCAACACCACCCCTGACCACTACAACTGTACCCCCTACACCTGCCTCAATGGCGGCAGATGCATTCCCACACCCACAGGCACCAGGTGAGTAATATACATTTATTTCAAAGGCAACAGATGTATTCCCACACCCACAGTAAAAAGCGAGTAGCTGACATCTGCTAAAGAATGTCAACGTATGTTGGAGTCTACTAAAAAGTTAATTTTTTTAAACAATAGAACAGAGTCGTATCTTAATTACTTTTTACCAAAAAAAGTTATTCGTTTAGGTTAATATACATTGTTACACACTGAGTTTTGGTAGAAACATCTGTATTCTATAATAGTTACACAAACGTTATCAACTTCGTTCTTGGTTCTTCCATCATTCATTTATCATAGCCTTTACAAAGTACCATTATCTGATTGTAGCTAATTCTGCATATTTAATAAACTGCTACTAACCTTACTTGCAACCTGTTTATATAGTTTAGAGGAATTAATACATTGAACATTTGTGATCAATGTTTGCAGCACACTGCAAGTGTTCGTAGCATTTTGCAAAAAAATATGTAGGATTTGCTGTAATTAAGTAATGATATTTTGTATAGATAGTGATACGTACATAATAAAATAGCTAATAGCTTGTCAACTAACTGTGATAATCATCTGCTGTAGTTTGGTGGGAATGATCCTCTGGCCACGCAATTTAACCAACCGTTTTCCTCTGAGCGAAAATCTTGAATCCGCTCACAAGTTGCTGAAGGTTCATTTGCTTCTATGTCGGTAACACGCAGAATAAACGCTTTAATGGCAGAAGCTGTGGCTACATAGCTCCTTCACAGTGTTGCCTCCAGCATCCACGTTATAAGCTACCGTCTTCCTCACAGATGCATCTGCCCTCACGGCACCTGGGGCTCCCGCTGTAAAGTACTCGTCAGACACTTCGAAGGTGGAGGGACTGAGCAGGTTTTTGAAGGAGGCGTTCACGGAGCCTCGAGAGTGGGCGGGTGGGCGTGGGTGGCGCCCATCCCGCCCTGTGCCGAGGTCCACCTCAGTCTGGAGGTGCTCACCAGGTCCCCGGCGGCCACTCTGCTGTACTCAGGTCCTGACCATGGGGCGGCGACCCCAGACACCGAAGATAGCGGCATCAGGGAGTTGCTACTGCTGGAGCTGCGTCAGGGACGCCCATCCCTCCTGCTGGACATGGGTGGTGGTCCTGTCACTCTCACCCTCAACGCCTCCTCCTCCCTCGCAGACAACACCTGGCACAGGATCGATCTCATATGGAGAGACGAGGTAAGACGTCTGTTGACAAGGAGTTACGACGGAGGCTCTTGAAGGTACTTACTACATATTGCTGTTTAGTTTCTATGCTGTATAGTCCTTGTGGCTTAGCGCTTCTTTTTTGATTATAATAATAATAATGTTTAGTTTCTTACCCTTGTGGGTTTAGCGCTTAGTTTTGATTGCAATAAGGATAATAATAATTAGATTCTTTTATTTAACGTTAGCGTAACAGCAGTGCGAGGCTACCCTGTACGACCTACACTTAGAAGCGCTTAATTAAGCCATGATGATCATACAGCGCTTGCGGATCCAGTCAAATTTTATACTAGGCTTTTATTTTGCAAGACTGATATACCTGTTTTTTCTGTCATCTTCAGTCACATGCTGTTAGTTTTAACTGAATGTATTAAGTGAAGAAATGAAGATATCGTCAAGCATTCCACTTTATTATTGTTATTTTCTTATTAGTAGTAGAATTATTATATAGTCATGGGAAGCCACTAAACCGTATGGGGTCATGCAGCGCATGGGGGTAAGGGAAGTAACTAGGTTAGATCCCAGGTGAGAGCAGTTCCAATTGCTTAGATCAAGAACTCTTATCACTTTTGGCACTAATAGAGCTCTCCGCTCCCCCTCCCTCCTGTTACCCTTCTCCTCCTACTCTCCCTCTGCTTCTGCTCCTCCCCCAGCTGGTGGAGATGATCGTGGACTTGTGTACGGGCGGCGGGCTTGACGAGTCGCCCACTCCGCCCGCCAGTCCCGCCCATACCACCCCTCCGGACGCCCACACGTGTCGAGGGGCTACCAGACTGCCCCGGGCCGCTCGTGTGTTCAACACAGGTGGGCCGCTGCAGGTGGGCGGGCTGGCCCACTCACTCCCCGCCCACTACATGAACGAAGGACCGTCCATCCTCCGCCCACCTCACCTTCAGGGCTGCCTCAGGAACCTCAGAGTCAACGGCCAGGTGAGGTACACAAACTTTATCACAAATTCAGAATTACATTATTATTATTATTATTATTATTATATTATTATTATATTATTATTATTATTATTATTACATTCATAGGGTGAGCTTAAACCCACATGAGTCAACCAGTACCTGGGGAATAGGAGGCAATTAGATTCAGTTCAGGGAATGAAAGGTTGGCTCCATTTCCTATGATCAAGAGCCTTTCACTGGCATCAAGACCCACTTATCCTCGAGGAATACAAATTCAAGGAAACCAAATAAGTGTAACACTTGTTTACAAAATAAGATGACTAAGTGGAAAAAAGTTGAATACTTATATGAGGCATTAAACCCGTGTGGGTCATCCAGCACAAGGAGTCCTGGAGACTCGATCCTCCCTCCGCTAATCGCGTGGCTCACGCGCTATCACTCACCCTTGATGCTGGTGAAGGGATCTTGATCCGAGAGACTGAATTAAATATGATTGCTTCCATTCACCAGGCGCTATTTGCTTCTTACGGGTTTAGCGCCACTTCGTGAACATAGCAATGATAATCCGCTATTGCCTACAGTAATGAGACTTTTAGCTATTCGGGACATCATTTGCTTATGGTGAAGGGATCTTGATCCAGCCATTTGGAGCTACCCTCCCTCTCATTTAATCATATCTAATCGTCTCACGTTCATCAGATTGATTAACAAGACACATGTGCGACACTTATGTATCTGGGGGAACAAGACACATGTGCAACACTTATGTATCTGGGGGAACAAGACACATGTGCAACACTTATGTATCTGGGGGAACAAGACACATGTTCAACACTTATGTATCTTGGTGAACAAGACACATGTGCGACACTTATGTATCTTGGTGAACAAGACACATGTGCGACACTTGTGTATCTTGGTGAACAAGACACATGTGCGACACTTGTGTATCTTGGTGAACAAGACACATGTTCAACACTTATGTATCTTGGTGAACAAGACACATGTGCGACACCTATGTATCTTGGTGAACAAGACACATGTGGGACACTTATGTATCTTGGTGAACAAGACACATGTGCGACACGTGTATCTTGGTGAACAAGACACATGTGCGACACTTGTGTATCTTGGTGAACAAGACACATGTGCGACACTTGTGTATCTTGAAGAACAAGACACATGTGTGACGCTTATCTATCTTGATGAACAAGACACATGTGCAACACCTATGTATCTTGGTGAACAAGAAACATGTACAACACATATTTTTCTTGAACAAGATACATGTGCAACGCCTATGTATCCTGGTGAACAAGACACATGTGCAACACTTATGTATCTTGGCCAACAAGACACATGTGCAACACTAATGTATCTTGGTTAACTAGACGGTATTGTACTGTACCCAATTAAAAAACCACCAGACACTGTTTGACTCTTAGGGGTTTAGCGCTTCTCCATGAACACGAAGAATAATGGGGCCGCCAGCCACTTAGACAGGTAAAGAACAGCGACCTGGAAAATCTGATGTTTGCTGGCGAGAAATTCATGGCCGTTGAAGCAGCACATGAGTTTGCTGGAGCAATAACCGGGCAAAATCATTGCTTGGGTGTGCAAACTCCCATTTTGAGCCTAAACTAACGCCATCAGAGCTAAATCTTGGTAAACCTAACAATGCCAAATATACGCGAGCACTCCGTTTACTCTCTGCCTTTATAAACGCTGTCCCAGCATCAAGGCATAGCCGCCCCTCCAGGAATGTGCCTTGATGCCGGCGATGGGGCTATTGATTCAAAGATTTGGACCTATCCTCTTCTTCAACTGTTTCTGACTCTCTCCTCATTTTCCCAAGTGCTGTTTAACCCCTTTGGGATCAGTATTTCTTCCGTGAATACAATAATAATAATAATAACAATAATAATAATAGTTTTAATATAATGAATTAGATATATTTTTGTCGCTGAGAGATCCGAAAAACGTATCTCTTCCCTTATTGCATAACCCCAGTCCCCTGTACCTCACTGCACGCGATAGCAATGTTACAGAATGCGGTATATATTTCTTATGCAATTAAACATTAGCGTTGAAGATTTGATGTGAATCAAAGATGCATTCATAGGTTATCACATTTAAACTAATATCCCAGTTGCTTTAATAAAAAATGACAATTGGGACATTGACAGATCAAAATTAGTTCATAACTTCCACTAAGAAACACCAGATTTGAAGCCAAGCTGATGAGGCATTCTCATGTTATCTCAGAGAGAGTAATATCCTAAACTATTGGAATGCAAATGTATATCATTCAGCACAAGACGACAATGGTGGAGGCTCGATCCTTCGTCTGCTGAGTGCGAGGCAAACGCGCTTATTATTTATGTTCGCATCTTCTCCTAAACTATATGAGTATATGAAGTTGGAAGTCGCTCACAAGTTGTGTTATCAAGCAATCAACGTTAAAGGTTTGATACCAATCGGATGAAGCATTTACAAACCATAGCATGAAAACCAGCATTTCAATTTTCCCAATTTCTTCCATAAAGCAAACATGGAGTTATGCAGACCAGACTCGGTCGAAACATTGTTTTCTTATGTTTTTCATTACTGTATTTGTAGAGTTGCAAATTTATGCCTGCAAAGTTTAAACTTCTAGAATATAATTAATTTTATGAAATACAACAGTGATGATGGTTAGAATCCGATCATAAGAGGCAAGGGTAAGTATGCGTTCCGGAGAGCACATCAGCATTATAAGTTTGAAGCTAATCAGAAGAGCCATTCTCTAGTTGTCACACAAATTCATTTTCTTTCAAATTATTTAAGGCTAATTTAGCATGTTGACAAACTTGCCCGCACACAGAACTAGCGTGTTATTAGTGTTGTGTGTTCATTACATTGTTATGTTGTTCCACGAGGTAATTATCAAGCTAGGTTATTAGTGATGTGTGTTCATTACATTGCTATGTTCTTCCACGAGGTAATTATCAAGCTAGGTTATTAGTGATGTGTGTTCATTACATTGCTATGTTGTTCCACGAGGTAATTATCAAGCTAGGTTAATAGTGATGTGTGTTCATTACATTGCTATGTTGTTCCACGAGGTAATTATCAAGCTAGGTTATTAGTGATGTGTGTTCATTACATTGTTATGTTGTTCCACGAGGTAATTATCAAGCTAGGTTATTAGTGATGTGTGTTCATTACATTGTTATGTTGTTCCACGAGGTAATTATCAAGCTAGGTTATTAGTGTTGTGTGTTCATTACATTGTTATGTTGTTCCACGAGGTAATTATCAAGCTAGGTTAATAGTGATGTGTGTTCATTACATTGCTATGTTGTTCCACGAGGTAATTATCAAGCTAGGTTAATAGTGATGTGTGTTCATTACATTGCTATGTTGTTCCACGAGGTAATTATCAAGCTAGGTTAATAGTGATGTGTGTTCATTACATTGCTATGTTGTTCCACGAGGTAATTATCAAGCTAGGTTATTTGTGATGTGTGTTCATTACATTGTTATGTTGTTCCACGAGGTAATTATCAAGCTAGGTTATTTGTGATGTGTGTTCATTACATTGCTATGTTGTTCCACGAGGTAACTACCAAGCTGTGTTGTTAGTGTGGTGTGTTCAACGCACTATTGTGTTGTTCCACGAGGTAACTACCAAGCTGTGTTGTTAGTGTGGTGTGTTCAACGCACTATTGTGTTGTTCCACGAGGTAACTACCAAGCTGTGTTGTTAGTGTGGTGTGTTCAACGCACTATTGTGTTGTTTCACGAGGTAACTACCAAGCTGTGTTGTTAGTGTTGTGTGTTTAATACATTGTTGTGTTGTTCCACGAGGTAACTACTACACTAACAACATGTTAGTGTGGTATGTTCAACACATTGTCGTGTTTCATGGGGTCACTACTAAACTAGGTTAGTGCATTAAGTTCATCACATATGTTCGCAGCTGTGTGGATAGTGTACTCACCACAGCTACCAGGTTAGTGTGGTATGCACACTTATTGGTTATTGGGTCTCCACACTCAGGTCAGTGAGTCACACAGTCAGCGCTGGTGGACCAGGGTGACTCATAGCCAGCCAAGCACCCAGGTGTTCCAGGTCACGTTAATGGTCAATGGTCACGCAGCCAGGTTAGTGAGTCGACTAGTCAGTAATGGTACACAGATGATCAATAAGGGCCAAGAAAGGGTCACAAGGGCTTGAATTCATCAAGTTGGAGTCAATTACTTGCAGGAGTAATAGTCTGTCGATTTACGTATTAATATCACTGTGTAATAATCACCATAGGACTGAATTTTTATCAAGGTGTAGTATTACTTTTATTGTCAGTATATTATCTCCATTCAGTATTACACATGTGTTTCACATGACAATTTTATACAAATGGTTATAACCATGTATTATTGCAGTTTATGTGATTAAAACATTAGTTAACTTTACGCCACGCAATTTTCACCAAAATCTCTTGAGGTTTATCTGGTCAGTGTCTAAAACTAGAACGCTTTACACTTTAAACTCGTAGAACTACCATTCGTACTAACGAATGGTAGTCAAGAAGTGGTTGGCTGGAGATCAAGAAATATCTGGTGATTGGTGATATCTCTAGATGTGCGAAAAGAACGAATGTTAGATATGACTGATACTTGTATTTAGGCATGAACACTGGCACTCAAGTGCACGGAAACTATAAAGCACGTGTCGTACGTACCTGTATTTGTAAACTGAAATTTCACATACGTGAACATAACAAATTGAGACAATTGGGCATAAAAAAGAGGATCCAAGCGAAAAACTTGATTCCTCTTCCTCATTTTTTTTGAGAGCTTGATTTCTAAGATTTTTTTTAGACAGGTGTGCAGGACACATGATATAAATGCTGCCATAAACCCAAGTGGCGTACGGATTCAGTTTTTTTTTTTTTTTTTTTTTTTGCAGAAAAGTGATGACAAACCGCAACCGAATTATTGTCCATTTTTTCCGCTCGAATCATTTAGCATAATGAGTGGAGCAAAGATAGTGTCATCGCCTCTCGCCCGGACAGAAACAACACTTGGAGGAACATGTAAATTCGAAAATTGAAATGAAACGTAATGAATGGAATATTACAATAACTATAATGAAGCTAGTAAAAAAATTAGATTGGTGGTTAAAATGAATTTATTATTTGGGAATGTGTGTGCATACAGATGAGTCTATAAAAATATATAATGAACTGCAGAATACACTAGCGAAAGAAAGTAGCAAGAGGAAAAAAATTAGTTTAACAACGGGTGAAAAGAAACAGAATACTGGATACCAACACCTTTGTATGAGTGAAAGGCACAGTGTTTGAATGTTGCAGTGAGGAGGAGGTTGGCGGCTTTGGAGATGTAGTGTTTGAGATCATTGTGTGGTATGAATATTATGCAAAAGAATGAAAATTAAGAACTTATAAAAAGAGCTCGAAGTATTAATAAGCGGAAGAGTGGTTGATTAAGTGATCTGGGATTCTAAAAAGGCCACAGCAAAAGAAGTCGAGTAAGCGGGTGAAATGAATCTTTGACAGGAGTGCAAACGCGACAGAACGTAGAGGAAGTAGGCAAAGGAAGTTACGAGTTACAGAAGTTGAGAATCCAGTAGGCATGTGTGAGAGTTAAGTCGGAGTGAGTATAGATCAGAGCCTTTTATGTTTGAGGTGTTGCTGATATGTGAGAAGCATAATATTTATGTTAACATTTAAAAAAAAAAAAAAACTAGTCAGCCAGACTTGCGTTCTGAAGGTGGCAAGTACAGTGTCTGCAGCTTGAATTCAGTAAGGATTATTATTATATTAACTCGGAAGCACTAGACCTGCAAGGGTCATGAAAGACTGGGGAATCTGATAGGCAAAGGCAAGAAAAAATTAAGTTTATCCGAGAAAGAGAATGGCAGCTCCAATTCCTTCAGCAGCAACAAGACACCTCCTTGGAAGGAGTCAAGGGAGGATTTAGGTCATCAGTGTCATGAAGAAAGTCAGTGACCCAGTGTGATTATCTTCACACGTTTAAACACATATTTTGTGTTCAAAATTGCACGCTCATGTTTGTGTTCTGTAAATATTACATAATTTCGTGACCTGACGAGAAAACACTGTATATAATAGCCACAAGGCTTCGTGTAACAAGAGGATTTAAATAGAAAATACAAAACAAGCTGTAACTAAAAACTGAATTATATCTGTGCTCAGGCAGACTGTGAACCATTCATGGTAATATTCCAGCCTTATTTCAAACAAATAAATATTCTATTAAATACGTAACTTATCACCTTCAGGTGTCGTGGGTCTCCAGGCTCGCTACGGTGTGAGTGCCAGGCAGGGTGGGGAGGGCCAGGGTGTGCCACACCCACCACACCCACCACCTTCCTCCTCAACAGCTACGTCAAGTTGGCACTCTCCTTCACTCCTCTAGGCTACACCACCTCTATTTCTCTCAGGTATTGTTGGCTTCTCCAGGGCTCTTGATCCGAGGAATTGGAGTTGCATTGCCTTTCTGCAGTTCAGACCTGATTATATTTTATCCACCAGGCACTGCAGGGCCCTTACGAGTTTATATTTTTCTATAAAATAACAACAACAACAGCAACAACAATAATAATTATAATAACAATAATGAGAATAATAATACAAATAGTAATAATAATAATAATAATAATAAATTCCTTGTAGCTTAAGCCTTAAAAGATTTTCATAATAAGAAAAAGTTATAGTCTAGTACTGCAGGTGTTAACACTGTCTAGTACTGTGGAAATATAAACACATATGCAGTATAATGTGATCCTTTATTGACAACGTTTCGCCCACACAGTGGGCTTTTTCAAGTCACACACAGATCTACCTGGGGTGGAAGGTACGGGAGTATTTATAGTCATGTTCAGAATGTTGAGGTCAGGTGGAGAATGCTGCATCTGATGATCTACCTGGTGGAGTTATAGAGTCTTGGGTAGCTTGGCAGGGATATTGGACAAGTTGTGAGTAGACCTAGGTAGATCTGTGTGTGACTTGAAAAAGCCCACTGTGTGGGTGAAACGTTGTCAATAAAGGATCACATTATACTGCATATGTGTTTATATTTCCACTGTGTCGGTATTTGATACCATTTATTTCCACTGTCTAGTACTGCAGGTGTTAACACTGTCTAGTACTGCAGGTGTTAACACTGTCTAGCACTGCAGGTGTTAACACTGTCTAGCACTGCAGGTGTTAACACTGTCTAGTACTGCAGGTATTAACACTATCTAGTACTGCATGTGTTAACACTGTCTAGTACTGCAGGTATTAACACTATCTAGTACTGCATGTGTTAACACTGTCTAGTACTGCAGGTATTAACACTATCTAGTACTGCATGTGTTAACACTGTCTAGTACTGCAGGTATTAACACTATCTAGTACTGCATGTGTTAACACTGTCTAGTACTGGAGGTGTTAGAACTGTCTAGTGTTGTAGGTGTTAACACTGATTAGTGCTGCAGGTGTTAACACTGTCTAGTACTGCAGATGTTAACACTGTCTATTGTTGTAGGTGTTAACACCCTCTAGTGTTGTAGGTGGTAACACTGTCTAGTGCTGCAGGTGTTAACACTGTCTAGTGCTGCAGGTGTTAACACTGTCTAGTGCTGCAGGTGTTAACACTGTCTAGTACTGCAGGTGTTAGCATTGTCTAGTACTGCAGATGTAAACAATGTCAAGTATTGCAGGTGTTAACACTGTCTAGTATTGCATGTGTTACCACTCTCTAGTACAGCAGGTGTTAACACAGTCTAGTGCTGCAGGTGTTAATACAGTCTTGTACTGCAGGTGTTAACACTGTCTTTTATTGCAGGTGTTAACAGTCTAATACTGCAGGTGTTAACGCAGTCTAGTACGGCAGGTATTAATACTGTCTAATACTGCAGGTGGTAACGCTGTCTCCTTCTGCTGCAGGTGGTAACGCTGTCTCCTACTGTTGCAGGTGTTAACAATGTCTCCTACTGTTGTAGGTGATAATGTTTCCAGCTGTTGCAGGTGGTAACACTGTTTCCAGCTGTTGCAGGTGGTAACACTGTTTCCAGCTGTTGCAGGTGGTAACATTGTTTCCAGCTGTTGCATTTGGTAACACTGTCTTCCAGCTGTTGCAATTGTTAACACTGTCTTCCTGCTGTTGCAGGTTCCGCACTTGGAGGAGACGAGGGGAACTGGTGGTGGTGACGTCACAACATGGGCGTGACAGGTGGGCAGTGGAGGTGGTGGGAGGCCGAGTGTGTGTGGCACTGCGCCTCCACCCTCGACCCCCCACATCTCTCTGTCTCACCAGAGCCACTCTCACTGACGGTCGCTGGCACTCTCTGGCTGCTGCAAGGTACTAGCACTCTCACTGTACAATTGGTACTCTGGTACTGGCATTCACACTGCAGTATTGGTACTCTGGTACTGGCACTCACACTATAGTATTGGTACTCTGGCACTGGCACTCACACTATATAGTATTGGTACCGTGGAACTCAAATTGTAGTATTGGCACTATGGTTCTGACACTGTGGTATTGGTACTGTGGTACTGGTACTGGTACTGTGGTACTGATACTGTTGTTGTGGTACTGGTAGTGATACTGTAGTACTGATACTGTGGTACTGTACTGACACTAGTATTGGCACTATGGTACTGGCACTGTGTACAGGCACTATAGTATTGACACTATGATACTGTCACTACTTTAGAAACGGCAATATAGAACTGGCACTGTAGTACTGACACTGTAGTATTGGCACTATGGCACTGTCACTATAGTTCTAATACTGAAGTATTGGCACTCTAGCACTGATACTATAGTACTGGCACTCAAGAACTGGCAATGTAGTACTGACACTGTTGTACCAAAGCTGTAACATTGACACTATTGTACTGAAACTGTAACACTGGCACTGTAATATTATTTTACTGGTATTCTAAAATACCAATACCCTAATGTACCTGAATTCATATATATTTGTAATATTTAGTACAGTACTTGCACATAATAGAAATGGCACTCTGTTAATATTCTGGCATGTACTCTCAGTAATAGCATAGTTGTAACACAAAACCCAGTAATCCCCACAGTTGAAACACAAAACCCAGTAATCCCCACAGTTGAAACACAAAACCCAGTAATCCCCACAGTTGAAACACAAAACCCAGTAATCCCCACAGTTGTAACACAAAACCCAGTAATCCCCACAGTTGTAACACAAAACCCAGTAATCCCCACAGTTGTAACACAAAACCCAGTAATCCCCACAGTTGTAACACAAAACCCAGTAATCCCCACAGTTGTAAACACAAAACCCAGTAATCCCCACAGTTGAACACAAAACCCAGTAATCCCCACAGTTGTAACACAAAACCCAGTAATCCCCACAGTTGTAACACAAAACCCAGTTAATCCCCACAGTTGTAACACAAAACCCAATAATCCCCACAGTTGTAACACAAAACCCAGTAATCCCCACAGTGTAACACAAAACCCAGTAATCCCCACAGTTGAAAACACAAAACCCAGTAATCCCCACAGTTGAAACACAAAACCCAGTAATCCCCACAGTTGTAACACAAAACCCAGTAATCCCCACAGTTGAAACACAAAACCCAGTAATCCCCACAGTTGAAACACAAAACCCAGTAATCCCCACAGTTGAAACACAAAAACCCAGTAATCCCCACAGTTGCAAACACAAAACCCAGTAATCCCACAGTTGAAACACAAAACCCAGTAATCCCCACAGTTGAAACACAAAACCCAGTAATCCCCACAGTTGTAACACAAAACCCAGTAATCCCCACAGTTGTAACACAAAACCCACTAATCCCCACAGTTGTAACACAAAACCCAGTAATCCCCACAGTTGTAACACAAAACCCAGTAATCCCCACAGTTGTAACACAAAACCCAGTAATCCCCACAGTTGTAACACAAAACCCAGTAATCCCCACAGTTGTAACACAAAAACCCAGTAATCCCCACAGTTGAAACACAAAACCCAGTAATCCCCACAGTTGAAACACAAAACCCAGTAATCCCCACAGTTTGTAACAAAAAAACCCAGTAATCCCCACAGTTGAAACACAAAACCCAATAATCCCCACAGTTGTAACACAAAACCCAGTAATCCCCACAGTTGAAACACAAAACCCAGTAATCCCCACAGTTGAAACACAAAACCCAGTAATCCCCACAGTTCAAACACAAAACCCAGTAATCCCCACAGTTGAAACATAAAACCCAGTAATCCCCACAGTTGTAACACAAACCCAATAATCCCCACAGTTGTAACTCAGAACCCAGTAATCTCCACAGTTGAAACAAAATCTATTAATTCCCACAGTTGTAACACAAAACCCAGTAATCCCCACAGCTGAAACACAAAATCCAATAATCCACACAGTTGTAACACAAAACCCAGTATTCCTCACAGGTGAAACACAAAATTCAGTAATCCCTACAGTTGCAACAGAAATACAATGATCTCCACATAATACAATGATTGCCACATAAATCCTTGGTATATATGAGTATGATCACATCTGTTCACACGGACAGAACACTCTTGGTCGCTCAAAACACGCTGCATTTTTGGTCATTAAAGTTCAGAACGGCAATAATTAGCTCAGATGGGGGCCTCATGTGCTAACACATAGGCACACACACACGCACAAAAAAAAAAAAAAAAACAGGAGCAGTTTTGATGACCATGTTCGTAATATTAGTCCGGCGCTTGTAAACCTCGCTATAAAAACGCTGGGCGTTTTTCATTTGTTTGTGTCATTAACTTTATACGTTCACCAGTGTTACCGGTAGGATCCGGAGCGAGACGATTAATAATAATATCTTTATTTACTACAAGTACATGTACAAGGTATACAGGTCTAGCTGACATCAGTGACATACTACTATATAGAAAGCCCCTTGTTATGCAGAGCATTTCGGGCAAATTAGGTCAGTTTTGTCCCAGAATGCAACCCACACCCAAGTATTCATTTTACTGATGGAGAACATAGACAACCAGTGTAAAGAAACACGCCCAATGTTTCTACCCTCGCCAGGAATCTAATGATCGTCGGGCCCTGATGATAATGAGTATAGGCATGCGAAGATGTAGGTGATTACTCAAGTCTAACATTCTGTCTGAAAGTTGACGAGTAACGACGGTTATCTTATCGTTTTCCAAAATTGGTCCGTCAAGCATAGTATATTCTTAGATATGTGTTCCTAAAGTCTCACAGGAGAGGAAGGCACGACTGCGGGAATCGTTCGCGATCTTCCACCTGAATTCAGAACGAAACCTTACAATCGGGTCTGTTATGGCAGCAGGTTAGTAATGGCCGGGGTCGTCGAAACAATGCGAACAAATTAATGTTGTCTGCCTAAAGGAAGAGCGCATCCGAAGGGAGAAATTTATATTTTATCAGATGCGAATGATTCCTAAGTCATCACTGGGTTGTTTTCATTAGTCAACCCTTACAAGGTTATTTACAAACACTACCGTGACAAATCTAATTATGAAATACTAATACATCGATGTGTTATTCTGTATATACTATACCCGAACTTGGGCATCTCCATCTGCAAGTTTTATACTGCAATTACAACAATAAAAATGTAAATGAATAAGAGCGAGGAAAGCAGGACCTAAAAATGCCGTTGCCCCTTAAGTGGCATACCTGTGCCCTTACCTGGAATAACTGCTCACCAGGAGTTAAATGCAGTATCAGCGGAATTACTGCCTATACTGAAAACTACTTTTACCTTTCGTGGTATATACACTGAGAGGTAAGCATATATACTCCTTTAGGGCATCAGATATTCGTTGTGTTAATGTCTAGGTGGATTGTGGCTTAATCACGCTCGTGCAGGCAATACGTCTTTCATAAAACTAACTCAAACTTTTCATCTACTTTGAAACTCGTATTTTCCTAAACAAATATTTAAATTTTTTTTTTTTTGATGTACAATTGATAATTATTTGCAAAGATATGTATACAGTCGTTACTGTTCTAATAGTTAATAATAGAGTTATCCTATCTCCAGATGCTCGTATCTCCTTGTATTTCACTGTTCTGTGGCTGATGTCGCTCTTCCCCCATCTTCAACTTTACCCCCTACCTTCTGTGTATTCCCTTGAACTAACTCATGTTTCTTTCTTCTTTTTTTTAAGCCTAATGTTGCATTCCTTTTGTAATGGCGATCATTATCTGTGATAAGCATGTAACAGTAGGAAACTTTTCAATTAAAAGATGAGGACTCTTTATCATCACCATCAAACATTAACATCACCACCAGCACCCACAGACTCTTATCATTCACATCCCACCTGACGTGATCGGGAGGTCACATTAGCGGCTCTCGTCGGAGTGGACCAGAGGGTTCAGTACTTCGAACAGGACCGAGCCTCCATCAGTTCACATAATTGCTGAAGGCAATTAATTATCCACTCCCGCACTTATAGCGGCACTGACGTCCAGTTGTGTGTCTACAGGTACGGTTCTGCGGTCCTCCTGTCGGCAGACGACGGCGACGGTGACCTGTACAATGCCTCGTTGGTGTTGGAGGGACGCCAGCTACTGCAGGTGGACAAGCAAGAGGGCGTCCACGTAGGAGGGACGCCGGAGTTCCTGGACGTCAGTGTGTTCAAGATCGAAAGTGATTTTTTCGACGGTGAGTGTAGATTTGAGTGAAGAAACGAAGGAATGAAAAACAAACTCATTATTTGGAAAAAAAAATCAAATATACGAACTGAAACCTTTTAGCAAAGTAACTTAAATATTAAGTTTCTGGTATGTTTTTAAATACTGTGTTTATAAAATATTGAACTGAGCACATTAGCACTGTGTTCTCAACCAAATTAATTAATAGGAAGCGGTATGAATGAATATAGGAGTCCACTTAGTTATTTTTTTCAAGTTCATTATTTCTACGCAGCGAAATGGCAATAGATATGCAAATGTAGTTGTCTACGTATGAAAGAGGTTTTCACACAACTTCGGGATCATCTAATCTACGTAACTTCAGCAACAGGACCTCCACTGTTCTGTAATACACGTAATTGTTACTCCAGTTCATTCCATCATTGACCATCATGTCCGGTGTACCTTTCCCTATGCCATCCTTTATTCTAGCATTGGTATTTGAAAAACATCATCTTTCACAAAACTTCCCACAAGAAGTCACCGGCTTGAGATCAGGGAAGCTTCCGGGGATCATTTGATGGGGCTGTTACGCGTCTGTCTCGCTCTCAACAGACGGAGCAGCGCTGTATAGCCCTTGTGGCTTAGCGCTTCTTTTTGATTATAATAATAATAATCAACAGACGGAGGATCAAGACTTCACCACAGCTTAACATGAATTATTTACTTTTATTATTCAAAGGAACTTCTTGCTACGATAATTACGCTATTACATGCAAAAAAACTACATATCACATATCATTTCAGTATTTTTTTGAAATCGACGCATGTGTATTGGGAGTTTATATAATGTGCCAAAGAGAAAATTCTACACTATTAATTCTTCAGGATGTATGGACGATCTGCGAATCTCTGGTCGTAGCGTTCCACTGCCTCCTGCGACCAACAGCTCGGCGTGGGGCCAGGCAAGTGTCTACAAGGGTGTGGAGAGTGGGTGTGGCGCCCCTTCAGCCTGCGTCAATGTCTCCTGCAGAACCCCGCTCACCTGCGTCGACACCTGGAGGTCCTACCACTGTGGGTCAGTAAAGTAGGACTCTCATATACTGCTGAAAATAAGTGTCCTGCTCTTAACAGACGAGACTGAGGATCGAGCCTTCGAAATTAACTGGAAGACCCACAGGGGTTTAGCGTTTCACATAATCTGATTTAGAGGACAGCAATTTCTTATTTTTCTGTGATATTATTATTATTATTATTATTATTATTATTATTATTATTATTATTATTATTATTATTATTATTAATTAGTATTCTTATTATAATTTAGAGACAAGCTCTAAGCTCCAGTTCTTTGTCATGATTCCTTCAGCATCAAAGCCACCTCTTGAATGTACTCACCTAGCTGAGGTTGCAGGGGTCGAGTCCTAGGTCCTGGCCCCGCCTCTTCACTGGTCGCTACTAGGTCACTCTCCCTGAACCGTGAGCTTTATCATACGTCTGATTAAAGCTCTTGAATGTGTGTGTGTGTGTGTGTGTGTGTGTGTGTGTGTGTGTGTGTGTGTGTGTGTGTGTGTGTGTGTGTGTGTGTGTGTGTGTGTGTGAGTGTGTGTGTGTGTATGTATGTGTGTGTGTGTGTGTGTGTGACGATCTACCTACGCATACGTTGTTACAAACATTGTTGACACGTCACATTTCTAAGTGCTTCTGATCCTCACTGTATGTAACAATAGCATTATTTATTCAGTATAACAACAACAATGCTTCCTCATGATGAAAATGAAAACTGGAAAATAAATTTATTTCCGAAATCTCTTATATTCATTATTAGTATTAAGTATTTCGGGCACAGCCGTTGTCAGTAAGAGCAGAGCTGAACAATATTTGCCATCGAAATAACTTGGTTCTTGTTTAAATTCCTAGTAAAAAGAGACCATCACCAGTGTCCAGGCAACAATATTAGAAGGTTGTGAGATATACAAAGTTAGCATTATGTTAGTTATGATTGGATATTAACTTGGCAGTACCGCAGACAACAATCCTCTTCTTCTTCTGGCAGCTCAAGTAACTCTACTTGCGGGAATTAGAGATAGGTTAAGAATCTGCTTCCTCTTCTGGAGTGGCGCCAGGACTGCTATATAATCTGCTTCCTCTTCTAGAGTGGCGCCAGAACTGTTATATAATCTGCTTCCTCTTCTAGAATCATGCCAGGAATGCTGTATATTTTTCTTCCTCTTCTAGAGTGGCGCCAGGACTGCTATATAATCTGCTTCCTCTTCTAGAGTGATGCATCAGGCAGTTTAGTGTGATAATATAACACTGGAATTCATGGTGGGATGGGTTTAGTGTGCTGTTTTATGAGTGAGTTTACATAAATGTCCTCTCGTAATTGTTAACCTCTATATACATGACTTTTATTTATAGTGATTAGAAGTTTTAGTATTAAAGAATTAAATTGCCCAGCATCCAATTATGGAATATTCTTAATGATCTCATTTTAATAGCTTTCATCCATTAAGAATACGTAGGTTAATACTTTGAGGAAAGCCTATGGAACGAATGGATTGAATTGTTAATATAAAAGAGGGGAGTTATTATATCTGGAGGTGCAGGTATTGGGAAGGTGGAGAGAATATTTTGAGAAATTGTTAAATGTTGATGAAAAGAGGAAGGCCATGATTTCCTGCCTTGGACAGGGAACTAGAACATCTTTTACGAGTGAGGAAGAGCCAGATGTGAGTATGGCGGAGGTAGGTAAGGCGGTGGGTAGAATGAAAGAAAGCAAAGCAACTGGGATTGATGGGATTAAGACAGAAATTTAAAAAACAGGTGGGGATATAGTTTTGGAGTTGTTGGTGGTATTATTTATTAACTGTATGAAAGGAGGGGGGTGGTACCTACGGATTGACAGAGTGTGCATAGTTCTTTAGCGTAAAGGGAAAGGAGGTATAAGAGTGCAAGAACTGTAAGGGAATAAGCCTGTTGAGTGTACTAGGTAAAGTATATGGTAGAGTTATTACTGAAAGAATTAAGAGTAAGATAGAGAGCAGGATCACAGATGAAGAAGGTTTTAAGAAGGGTAGGGGATGTTCAGACCAAGTATTTACATTGATGCATATGAGTGAATAGTATTTAGATAAAGACAGGAAAATTTACGATGCATTTATGGATTTAGAAAAGACATTTTAAGATGGATAGGAGAGCAATGTGGCAGATGTTGCAAGTGTATGGAATACGTAGTAGGTTACTTAAAGCAATTAAGAGTTTTTATGAGGACAGTGAGGCTCACGTTTGGTTAAATAGGAGAGTGGGTGATTATTTTCCAGTAACAGTGTGCCTTAGACAGGGATGCGTGATTCACCATTGCTATCTAATATGCAGTATTTATATATGGGGCTGTAAAGGAATTAAATGGTAGGGAAAGACGTGTGGGTTTATAAGGTAAAATATCTAATGGGAGTTGTTACAGTGGCTTTTTTCCTATGATACTGTGCTTTTGGGAGATTCTAAAGAGGAGTTGTAAAAGTTTGTAGACGAATTTGGGAGGGTTTGTAAAAAAGGAAATTGAAAGTAAATATAAGAAAGAAAAGTGTGATGAGAGTAACAACAAAAATTAGGTGTGAAATAGTGGATAACAGATTGAAGGGAGGGTATATGGAGAAAGTGTATGTGTTTAGATATATAGGAGTGGACTTGTGGGCGGACGAGTCAATGAAAAATGAAGTGAATCATGGAACTAACGAGAGAAGAAAGTAGTTTGTGCATTGAAGTATCTGTGGAGACAAAGAGCTTATCCATGGTGATAAAAAGGAATATGTGTGAGAGTATACTGCTACTAACATTCTTATATGGGTATGAAGGATGAGTTTTAAACATTGCAGCAAGGAAGAGTATGGAGACAGTGGGGATGTCATATCTGAGGGAAGTGTGTTGTATGAATATTATGCAAAGTATTCATAGTTTAGAGTTTAGAAGGAGGTGCGTGGTTACTAAAAGTATTATCTCGAGTGCTGAGGAATGGTTATTGAGGTGGTCTGGGCATTTAGAGAGGATGGTACAAAATAGGATAATTGGAGGGTGCATAAATCTGTAGTGGAGGGAAGGGATCGAGGGAGGGGGTAAAGGAGATTTTGTATGCGAGGGGCTTGGACATCCATCATGCGTGTGCAAGTGTGTTAGAAGTGAGTGGAATGATTTGACATGCTGTTGGAATGTGAGCAAGGTAACATTTATGAGGGATTCGGGAAACTGGTTAGCCGGACTTGAATCCTGGAGGTGAGAAGTACAGTGCCTGCACTCTGAAGGAAGGCTGGGGATACTGCAGTTTGGATAGATATATCAGTTGTAATGTCGGCACGCCTCTGACAAGAAAGTGATAGAATGAGTGACAGTGAAAGCGTTTCTTTCTTTTTGGGTCACCCTACCTCGGTGGGAGACGGCCGGTGTGTTATGAGTGTAATGTCACCATAGCTGATAGGTTTCTAAACACGTTACTATGAAAAAAAAAAGAAAAACTAAACAAAATCTGTTAAACTTAGCAACGTGAACGTGAATATGTGAAGCAGCAGATTTTGTTACTACCTACAATGAAATCCATCGCCAGAACAAAACACACAAGCAATGTGTTCTATGGACCGGGCCGCGGGGGCGCTGACCCCTGAAACACCCTCCAGTGGTGGTTACTATTTGGTATTATTGATTAAAGTGGTGTTAATTAATAGAACTAACAATGCCCTATTTTTTTTTATTTCTGTCGACATGCACTCTCAGGAATTCTAGGAAAATACTGAGAATATCAACAGCCTCAGCGCTGCCTGCCATGAATATAGTTTTTGTGCTAATAGTGTTTCTCAGTGGCAATTTTTTTATTCACAGTGACAGGTATTGTGGGTCACACTGACAGGTATTGTGGTTCACACTGATAGGTATTGTTTTCACACTGACAAGTATTTTGGTTCATTCTGACAGGTTTTGTAGTTCACAGTGACAGGTATTGTGACTCACAGTGACAGGTATTCTGATTCACAGTGACAGGTTTTGGCTCAGTAACTAGAGTTGTGGTTCCCAGTGACAAGTATTCAAGTGACAAGTATTAGGGGATGTGGCTCAGTGGCAGATGTTTGCATGTTACACAGGTGTGGTGAGGGACGCGTGGTGAGCACCAGCAACAGCCAAGCGACGTGTGAGGACGAGGATGAGTGTGTATGGCGGCCCTGTCTCAACGGTGGCACCTGCTTTAACACCCAACCAAGTAAGGCTTTCTTGTGGTACCCTGTGACATCCTCCAGTCACTGTAGTAAAGAAATGCTCTGCATAACCATGGGCTTTCTGTATGCACAACCAAATGTCACCCATTTCCGTACAAACATTGTATCATGTGGAAATACATCTTTGACGTTAACTTCTTCCACACACTGCTGATTTATGGCACTCTTGTGGCATTGTTTTGCACTCATACTTCCCTGTAGCTCCCTTTTATAAACATTTTTGTCTTGTGACACCATACCCCAGTGGAAATAAGTCACTCTGACTTTTTTTGTGTTATCCCAGGTTCTCTACACATATGCTGCTATGTATGATAATCTGTGTAACTGTATTTGTGTATACCTGAATAAACTTACTTATTCCCCATCTACTGCTGTTTTGAGGCTTAAGTTAGATTAGGTAAGGCTTGTCTGGAAACAGTTCAAGAGTTTCCTGACGCTGGTCTTGGTCATATGATGACCCGCAGCTGGAACTTTTGGTAATCTGACCGAGGCCTTCCGCTTGCTTACCAGTCCACCCCTTTAAAAATTATGGTATGATTTCAACCATTAGTATGTCTTGAGGCAGGTTAGATTAGGTAAGAAGTGTCAGGAAACAGGACAAGTGTTGAAGTACTTCTTCTTGATTCGCCGGTACTCTCCTGGCCCGGGTCTTTTCCAGATGGTGACCCGGCCTTGGCTTCCAATCTTGGGAGTGTCTGAGACCTATGTCTGCCATGGGAGGAAGTACAAGTACCCCTTCATTTTCTGGGACCAATTGTCCCCAGGCCTAACCCCATTCCCCGCCCTCACGGGGCTCGTAGGGAGAAGCTAGGCCTCTTGTCTGCCGTCTTCCCCGCCCTAGGAGGGCTCGCGGGAATGGTGTCTTCTCATGTGTTGTTGAAGTGCTTTGCTCAGCCCTATTGTTTTTCATCCACTGCGATAAAGGGCTAATGTGACTTATCCACATACTCACCGCTCACTAAATATGATTCATCACACTCACTGCTGATTAAATATGAGGTCTCCCTACTCCTATCTCTTACTTAATGTGACTCATCTCTACTCTCACCGATGAATGTAACCCAGTCCAACACATGGTATAATATATCTGTTACGTTAAGCAGTGCATTTTCCTTTATGGTGTGAAAAATCAGAATCAGATAATATAATCAGAACCGCAAGGAAATAAGAACCCCAATCAAAATAAGTCCTAGAAAATTTACATATATGTTGCAATTTATGTTAATTGTGCTTATGTGTGCCTGAACCTAAAAAAATATATACTTACTGAATACTACTACTTAACTACTAAAACTTAGTTGAGTTTCTGCAACAAATCTGGTTTTCTCCGTTTTCTTCGAAGGCTATGTGTGTGCGTGTCCAGCAGGGTTCAGAGGACAGCACTGTCACCTGCCAGACGTGGGGGAAACTTCGCTAAAACTGCCTCTCGGGATCCTCGTCACCATTGTTGTTTGGTGCACCTTTCTTCTCCGTGAGTATGTTAACATGTGACGTTAGGCGTAAAGCTGCAAAGTTAGAGACCTGCTTTTTTTCTGTTTCGGTTCTATAAAGCAATCGGCAATGTCAGTCATTCCAAATAACGCTGAACCAGATAAGGAGAGTAAATTGTTCTAATGGGAATAAGTCGACTTTACTAAGTTAAATCTACATAATGTAGATTCCGCATCACTACCCTTTGCCTTTCACTGAATGATCCACTCGGCATTAGTGCTTTACACAAATTAAATGAAAAATCTACTGCATGTACTCTACATGCGTAACAATAACATTTATGTACCATCAAAACCACTGTAGGAATTTTAACTTACGGTTGTAAAGTCATTTGTAGATTGCACTACATAAAACCTTTACTAATATATTCTAGATTTGGGAATATTTTGTTTGTTTATGAGAACCACAAAAAATGCGATTAGTCAGAAATAGCGAAATTGGGAAGTGAGTAAAGAAGCAATAATTGCTTCAGCATGGCTTCAGACCCCACCGTTCCACTTTTTCTTTTTTTTTAGAATGCACATTCTCCACAGTGCTGATCTGCGCCTTCCTGCTGCACCAGCATCACCGTCGTTCTGCATTACGCAGGGGAGCCTCCCACGAAAAGGAAGACACAGTCAGCTGTAAGGAGCAAGTGTCACCCTGCAGCCGCACGCCCAACCTGCTGGAGCTGCAGCTGCTAAAGCCGCCCAGAGCCAACGGCCAGCCAGCATGGACCAAGAATCCCAACATAGCAGGTAAGTGACCACCACCACCCTCGCCTGTGTAAATTACACCAGCATAGCGTAAAAAAATGCCCTCTGATAGACGTGCACTAAGAATCCAGCTGATCAGTGGTTACCTTCAGCTATTTTTAAATAAACAAGGAAGTCAATATAAAAGGCAAGAAGCCATCTTTTGATAACCTATATCAACAAAATTTACTTATCGGATCAAAATAATTTTTGCAAATTAAAAGTGGGTGCATCCGGTAATAATGAACCACATGTGCTCTTCAGTTATCGTTCCCCTCCACTTGATATCTTGATCTGTTAAGGTATCCAGGGTTTCGATACACGAGAAAAGGTGTTTGCAATAAATCAAAGAATTTTTTCACTGAAGTATTGGCAGTTTGTAAAACTGGTATAACTTGTTAAGTTTCAAAGAAGTTGCCAATACACGGGTTATAAATTCTCATAAAAAAATTAGCCTCTGGAGTGTATATTCCCTGCAAGCAGAGTTTCTTTGAAGGATTTAATTAAGGCCGCAGGTAATCTAGCCACTGCTATCAAAAACTCTCAATTTGTAAAGTAGATTTTAGTAAACTCTAAGTGTACATAACAGCCCAGACACGGATTTTTTTAAACTTTAAATTCATTATCATGATTATTATTATTATTATTATTATTATTCTTATTATTATTATTATTATTATTATTATTATTATTATTATTAACTGAATAATGAATAGAACTCATAATACCTGAGTTTATTGTTATTTATGTACTTTTAGAATGTAAGTAAACAAATGTTATCAATGTATGCACCCAAGTAAATTACAAATCTTTATCAAGTACATTTTAAAGTGACGTATTTTGGGTTTAATATCTATGAAGAAGATTTGCTCTCCCAGATTCAGTTTAAACAAAAATAATTGCAATAAAAATAAATAAAAACATATGATGGTTAGAGACTTTTAAATATTTGCAGAGTTAAAATACACAATGTAAAATGCAAAGCAGCTGGTAAAATTTCACAACTCACGAATTTTTGAATGAAAAATAGATGAGGTGTCTGATCGTTAAGACCATTAATTCCCAAAGTGAGCGGTACCGCCCCCCCCCCTGGGGGATGTGGAAAGTTCCAGGGGGGCGTTGAGGAAAAAGCGGGTGGTAGGGGGATGGCAGGGTGGCATCATATCCAAGGGAGTATTTCTTATACAAAATCTATATAACAGAATTTAAGTCACGAATAACCTTGAAGTGTATTGCGCATACCTGTATGAGCTGCATAAGAACATGTCTGACAGATTTCAGGATCTTTTTTGCTTAAAATACCAGACTGAGTAATCAATCCATTCCTAGATATTAGCATCGAGGAAACTGAGCAGAGGCTCAGAAAATCATATCAAGATTTTTGGTTACAATAAATAAAAAAATTTCAGACCGCTACCCTGCATTGTGGAACAAAGTCAGGATGTACTTAATTGTCTTCCCAACATCATATTTAGTAGAGCGAGGCTTCAGTGCAGTCGCCAAGCTTATTCCAAGCAAAGAAACAGACTACTGAAAATTACTGAACGTGGCGATCTAAGACTTCTTAGTGCCGTCAAGCCTGATGTTGAGAGGCTGATGTTCTTGCACAAAGCAGATCCATCTTACTAAAATTGTGAAGACAATGTAGTTACAGATTAGGTGTAAATTTATCCTTCCTATTGTTAAGTAAAATGGTTTACTATGTTAATTTTTATTTGTGAAATAAATACGGTTGTTTATAGTGTTAAACTAGTTGTTTTGAATTTGCAGTGAACCTAATATCAAGAAAGAGGTATATTCGTATGTGTGTGTTGTTTGGGAGGAGGGGGCGCTAGGGATGTGGCCTGGGTGCCAAGGGGCGGCAGCCTGAAAAAAGTTTGGGAACCTCTGGTTTAGACTATTATCTAGTCGAGAAGTGTCGCGTACTTTTCATCCCTTGCTTGGGTTAGTAGTGAGTTGCCTCCAGCCACGGTATTGTGGTGACGTGTATTCGTTATGTAATATTTTATTTCCTGCAGACGTAGATGTACTGCAAGTAGAGGTAGCGACCCTGTGTAACAGCGCAGAAACCCACCAGCAGCAGAAGTGTAGCACCCCAAGCACAGCATCACAGCACCAAAGAGAGGGACACCAGAATCTGCGGCCGAAGGACTCAGGCACTGAAAGAAGATCAAGCAGTGGATGTGCAAACAACCCTCCTGCCGGAGACGACTTGAGGAACTATGCTTATGAAGGTGACGGCTCCTCCCCTGGATCATTGTCTTCATGTAAGTCCAGCAGGAGAGGAGCGGAGAAAGGGAGTAAGCGTAATCATAAAATGGAGCGATGACGGAACAAACTGACCTTATTCTAAACCATCACAACTAATGGCATAAAAATTGTGCGATTTATAAAGGAGCCCACCTGGAGACAAAGCAGAAGGTAGGACAACTATATATTTCGGCCTCACACTGAGGCCCTCTTCGGTAAACTTTCGCGACTGAAAACTGGGTCAAACCTCAGTGTGATGCTGATATATACAGCACTCGTCTTCTGTTTTATTATCTCACTGTGGACTCATTTGTGCCACTAAACAGTGTTTTTTTTATGCTTTTATATTTGAAATTCTGAAAGTATTTAAATATAAACAAAAACTTTAATAATCTGGACACAGACTTTTACTATATCTGCAGATGTTGACTTTTTTAGATATGTATTTAACTACTGCATCTTCATATACCATGCTGTAGGTCTGGAGAGCTGCAGCGGAAGCGCAAAGTTCCTAGGTGGCTTCCGTGAGGTGGCACACATGGTGGAGTCCTGACACGTCACTGGGCCGTGTTCTGGCCACTCAGAAGCTATGATAGAGGCAGACACGCCAATTACACCCAGGCACAAAGACGAGTCGTCTCCAGTTGTAGTGGTCCTGCACTCTCTCAGTGAGCGGGACATTGTGGAAGCACTTCCGCCTGTGTTCTCTAGTCCATACAGTCAAGCAATCCACGATGAAGCAACGATCACCCGCCTCTCATGCCCGTCGACCCCGACCTCACTCACAACCAAGCCAAAACAAATGGATCTACCTTCGAAAACATGCTGCTGATTGGACGCCAGCGACACTGATCTCTCTTCCGCGAACTCTTGTGTTTCATCCAACCAGCGATCGATTTACCGACGTTTCTTCTCCCGAGCCCTTCCGTGTGCCTTTTTTTTAAGACTATAGTTTGGTGAAGGCTCTGGAAGTCAACTACCAGACTAAGAGCTGCCGTCGATTACATGCATCTTGTGTGAAAAAAATAATCTCTAAACATATAACGAATACTTAAGAAACTGCCTATTATGTGGTATTGCTTATCAGTCAGATTTCTTAGCAGATTTATATATTTTTTTCCTATACTATCTGTCACTATTTTCATCTCTTCCTTTCCATCTCCTTTTTCCTTCCCCTCCTGCTCTCTCTCTCTCTCTCTCTCTTCTCTCTCTCTCTCTCTCTCTCTCTCTCTCTCTCTTTCTCTCTCTCTCTGTCACTATCACATTCTTTCTCCTCCCCTTCCCTTCTTTTCCCCCTCCCTTCCCTCTTCCTCTGCCCCTCCCTCCCTCCCTTCCCTTCTCTCTTCCCTCTCCCGTTTCTACTCGCTCCCCCATTCCCCGTTCCTCCGTCCCCCTTCCCGATCCCCTCTCTTCCTTCCATCTCCCTCCTCTCCTCCCTCCTTCGCCTCCCTGCAAATCATTTTCTTCCAGATACATGGTTAGAGCTTACACATTTTGAGACACAGTGATGGATGTGGCAACAGAGAATCTTCCATTAAGGTGTGTGCTGGTGCGGGCTCGGAGCCCAGACCAGCTGCAGGTCATGGCATCAGCAGATCCTCAGTCACTACACGGTGTAGGTGCTCCCACTATTCATGAATGCAAATTGCAACTCATTGAGGCAAAAGGAGTCCCCCATGTTGTAAACTCAATGACTAAGAAACATTTCAGAATCCTTGTTTACCAGTGATAGCTGCAGTCGGCGAACTGTGAAAATATATTGGACACACCTTATGAGAATGAAAGACCCCAGGTAGGTATGTAACAGTGACATTCAGCTTAAAAAGTCGACTTTATGACAAAATTCTATAGCCAGTGCGTGGATACACTTCACGTATTTATTTTGCAAAAGTAGATCACTGAGACTGGTGTTTCTAAACATGAACATTAATTAGTATTAAAAGTGAAAGTTGAAGTTAACTCATATGACATTTGTGGGAACCTCGTGTGATACTGACACTTGCGTGTGATACTGACACTTGCGTGTGATACTGACACTTGCGTGTGATACTGACACTTGCGTGTTATACTGACACTTGCGTGTTATACTGACACTTGCGTGGACAGAATGTCTGTGTCGTTTAAATCTGTTGTAAAGATTATATGTGATATTATTGTAGATGTTTAACCTATAACATATTTTATAGCTTTAGTGACCTAACTAAAATTATTGATAAAATGTTCGGGCAAAAGTAACACACAATCACGCAGGCAAAACACACACACACACACACACACACACACAACACACACACACACACACACACATAGTCTGGAAAGTGATGCAATGGAGGCAGGATCCATACATAGCTCTCCCTGCTCATGGAGCAGGGAGAGTGACCTAATAGAGACCAGTGAAGAGGCGGGGCCAGGAGCTATAACTCGACCCCTGCAACCATAATTAGGTGAGTACACACACACACACACACACACACACACACCACACACACACACACACACACACCACACACACACACACACCTACCCACTTTAGTGGTAGTTTTTCCATTTTTCTAAAAGTTATTTGCAAAATAAAATTACGACGTTGCTAACTGAGATATTTTGCTGAAGTACCTTCGCTTCCCTGGATAAAGCATGATTATATTTCAAATTCCACATGGCGCTCTATGACCCTTACGGATTTAGCGTTTTTTGGTAAATATTTTGGCTTAAATAGCAACGGTCTTCTTGCCGAATAAGACAAGCGAAAATTTGTGTATGCAATAATTTCGCAAAAATCATTGTTATAAACGATTAGAAAAAGCTTAGGGCTGGCTTTTATGTCTTATAATTTCCTACTTGACATCTCAGAAACCCTCCTACCCATATGGGTAGTGGGGGGATGATGGTAGGGTGGGGTTGGCACCGACCACTAACCCAGTCTAATCTTAACCGTGGCCAGTGACACATACGCTACTCTGAGACCTCTCTCCCTGCTTTGGTTGCTCCCTTGCACATTGCACAGCTCCTGATGACGCACTGAGAAGTGTGAAAGTACTTGAGCTAAAGATTTCCACCCCCTGTGGCTTGATCTGCATAATATAAAATTATATATATATATATATATTAATATATATATATATATATATATATATATATATATATATATATATATATATATATATATATATACACACTGCAACAATCCAAAGCGTTGCATGACCCCTCTCGGATTAACGTTTTCTTTGATTACAATAATAATGCAACAATCCAAAAGGCCTTTCGTCATGTAATTGCAAATGCTTCTTCAAGACTTATGCAATGTGAAGAATGTAATTCAGAAGAGTGCCAGCAGGCGTGTCATGAGAGACAGGTCATGCAAGAAGGACTACATCCGGTTACCAGAGACAACAACCAGCATCAGCCTTCAGTGCATGTATGTGCTTGTTAATACCTGAGTGTGTATGTTTGCTAGTGTTGTTGTGTGTGTGTGTGTGTGTGTGTGTACTTACCTAATTGTACTCACCTAATTGTGGTTGCAGGGGTCGAGACTCAGCTCCTGGCACCGCCTCTTCACTGATCATAACTAGGTCCTCTCTCTCTCTGCTACCAAAGCTTTGTCATACCTCGTCTGAAAGCTATGTATGGTTCCTGCCTCCACTACATTACTTGTTAGGCTATTCCACTTCCTGACGACTCTATGACTGAAGAAATACTTTCCAACATCCCTCTGACTCGTCTGAGTCTTCAGCTTCCAATTGTGACTCCTTGTTTCTGTGTCCCCTCTCTGGAACAACCTGTCTATGTCTACCTTATGTATTCCACGCAGTATTTTGTATGTCGTTATCATGTCTCCCCTGACCCGCTTGTCCTCCTGTGTCGTCAGTCCGATTTCCCTCAACCTTTCTTCGTAGGACATACCCCTGAGCTCCGGAACTAGCCTTGTTACAAACCTTTGCACTTTCTCTAATTTCTTGACGTGTTTGACCAGGTGTGGGTTCCAAACTGGTGCTGTATACTCCAGTATGGGCCTGATGTACACAGTGTACAGTGTCTTGAACGATTCCTTACTAAGGTATCGGAACTCTATTCTCAGGTTTGCTAGGCGCCCATATGCTGCAGCAGTTATCTGGTTGATGTGTGCCTCCGGAGACATGCTCGGTGTTATGGTCACCCCAAGATCTTTCTCCTTGAGCGAGGTTTGCAGTCCTTGGCCACCTAGTCTATACTCTGTCTGCGGTCTTCTTTGCCCTTCTCCGATCTTCATGACTTTGCATTTGGCAGGGTTGAATTCAAGAAACCAGTTGCTGGACCAGGTGTCCAGCCTGTTTAGGTCTCTTTTAAGTCCTGCCTGGTACTTATCTGATTTAATTCTCCTCATTAACTTCACATCATCTGCGAACAGGGACACCTCTGAGTCTATCCCTTCCATCATGTCATTCACATATACAAAAAATAGCACTGGTCCTAGGATTGACCCCTGTGGGACCCCGCTCGTCACAGGTGCCCACTGTGATACCTCATCCTGTACCATGACTCGTTGTTGCCTCCCTGTCAGATATTCTCTGATCCATTGCAGTGCCCTTCCTGTTATACGCGCCGATCCTCTAGTTTCTGCACTAGTAGTTTGTGAGGATTTGTGTCGAAGGCCTTCTTGCAGTCCAAGAGAATGAAATTAACCCACTCATCTCTGTCGTGTCGCACTTCTGTAACTTTGTCATAGAACTCCAGAATCCGTGCTGGTTATCGTTTATAATCTTGTTCCGTTCCAGGTGCTTCACCACTCTCCACCTGATAATCTTCTCCATGACTTTGCATATTATACAGGTTAGTGACACTGGTCTGTAATTTAGTGCCTCTTTCCTGTCTCTTTTTTTAAAAATGGGAACTACATTTGCGGTCTTCCATACCTCAGGTAGTTGCCTAGTTTCAAGGGAGGTGTATATTGTGGTTAATGGCACACACAGTATATCTTCTCCCTCCTTGAAGACCCACGGGGAGATGTTGTCCGGTCCCATTGTCTTTGAGGTATCAAGGTCACTTAGCAGCTTCTTCACCTCCTCCTAAGTTGTGTGCATATCGTCCAGCACCTGTTGGTCTATTCCCTGTTGGTGTCCCCCTTTGTCCTGTCTTCCCAGAGTCCTTCCTGTCTCCACTGTGAATACTTCCTTAAATCTCCTGTTGAGCTCCTCGCATACCTCTTGATCGTTTCTTGTGAGTTCCCCGCCTTCTTTCCTCAGCCTGAACACCTGGTCTTTGACTGTCGTCTTTCTCCTAATGTGGCTAAACAGCAGTTTCGGGTCAGACTTGGCTCTCGATGCTATGTCATTTTCGTACTGTCGCTGGGCCTCCCTCCTTATCTGTGCATATTCGTTTCTGGCTCTTTGACTGATATCCTTGTTTTCCTGGGGCTTTGCCTTCTATACCTCTTCCATTCTCTAATGCACTTTGTTTTTGCCTCCCTGCACCTTTGGGTAAACCAAGGACTCGCTTTGGTATTCCCATAGTTTCCGTTGCCCTAGGGAACAAACCTTTCCTCTGCCTCCTTGCATTTTGATTGTTACATACTCCATCATTTCATTTACTGTCTTTCCTACTATTTCTCTGTCCCACTGCACCTCCCGCAGGAAGTTCCTCATACCTGTGTAGTCCCCCCTTTTATAGTTTGGCTTTTCCCATTCGACTCCTGTTACCCTCTCCACCTGTAACTCTACTGTGTAATCAAAACTCAGGACTATGTGGTCACTAGCTCCGAGGGGCCTCTCATATGTGATGTCATCAATGTCTGAGCCACTCAGGGTGAACACAAGATTCAGTCTTGCTGGTTCATCCTCCCTTCGCTCTCTGGTAGTGTCCCTGATGTGTTGATGCATGAGGTTTTCCAGTACCACATCCATCATCTTGGCTCTCCATGTTTCGGGGCCCCCATGAGGCTCCAGGTTTTCCCAATCGATCTCCCTGTGGCTGTGTGTGTGTGAGAATGTTTGCGAGTGTTGATTTGTCCTATTAACATTTTTAAAAGATTTTATATATGTTAAAAAAAAAGTTACGTGTTATGGGCCCTCTTTTATTGCTGACATAAACTCACAACAAAAATGTATTTCCAGCGCTGAAACTTCATAGTTCCTGGACATTAACATAAAAAATACAGCAATAAAGAAATGTTTTTTTTAATATCACGTGGCAGGCATTTTAATTTCTTGGTTTTGTTCTGTATTGTCCATATCTTTACAATATTGATGTTGTCATCACTTACTTGGTTACCTGTAGATTACCTGTAGCTGCTTCCATCGATCACCGCCCCCGCAGCCTGGTTGCTGGCCTTATCCATCAGACTGTTAGTGCCCGCCGTCTGCAGTCCAATGTCTGCATCACATCGCACCTGAGGGCGGGGAGTGTGGCTTGGCCTGGGGACAGTTGGTCCCTAAGATGAGCGGGTACTTGTACCTCCTCCCATGGGAGACATATCTCGAGATACTCCCCAGACAGGGAGCCAAGGCCGGGTCACCACTATTGGAAAAGACCCGGGCCGGGAGAGTACCGGCGAATAAAAAAAAAATCTTGATTAGTTTCTTCTTAAATGTGTTGACATCTATGTGAGTATATTTCTGTTATTGCTTTGTACATTCTTCATCCAATGTGAGTATATTTCTGTTATTACTCTGTACATTCTTCATCCAGTATCAACCGCGTCTCATTTCATCCTGGTCGCATTATTCCAACGATTGCGCTCTGTATCTGGATTATTCCAGATGGACTCCACATTAACTTATTTCATGGTACCAAATTTATGCCGATACTATTTCTATCAGCTTCGATTAATTACAACACTGATTAGACCAATGTACACATTATGCCATCTTCGATTACCTCCCCAAAACGTTTTGTGGTATCAATACTTTCAGTTCAGTAACATTTCCAGGTGTGTAATGCATTTTCATTACTGAAATATTAATTTCCTCTGAATTTCAGCAATTTTCACTTTAATCAGCTCCGTACAAAACATCTGGAAATTAAAGAGAAAATTGGTTCTCACGTCACAGAATATCTTTTAAAGGTCACTGAAGATTCACTCCCACAGCATTTTATATAAACATTGTTATCCCCATCAATTACTACACTTAAATTACTAGAAAATTATTAAAATTCCATAGTCACAGTACCGACTAAGCGAGGAATAAGACACTTGGGTATCTTGATTCCAAGACATTTAGCCAACCGGTGACTTTATCAGTTGAACTGAGAGTTGATATAGTTTATATAAATACGA